TCAGTGACCCCGCCCCCACCAAGGCCGCGCGCCCGCGGTCAGTGCCCCGCCAAGGCCGCGCGGCCGAGGTTTAAGTGACATTACTCTGTAGTATGTATATGTATAATACATATAATACAATATAAAGTATAATATTATAAATATATAATAAATTATAATGTATAATATGTATTATTGAATGTTATATATAATATAAATTACAGTCACATTATTTTTACGTGTTGTTTTTCTACTTTTTCCTGTCACGTGACTTTAGTTACGTTTTTAATTTTCTCTACATATACGACGAAAAGACTGTCTCACAAAATCGCTTTTATTATTTACTCTCTCGATCTTACCGATTCGATTCGACTCGATCAACCAACTTTTTTAATATATAAGGAGGATTTGTTGGTTCACAAGTAAGAGCCAATTATGTCAGACTGCTAGGCCGTGTCCGTCGAGAAAGTGCAGACAACTGTCTGCTACTGCGCATATTGCTCCGCAACAGATCGGGGAAGCCATCTTCTCATATCTTTTTTTGCACTTTCTCGACTTCTTTCAATTCCTGCTATTCCTGCATTTCAATTCCTGTATTTCTTGCATTTCCTGCGTTCGTTCGTTCTCTCTTGCTTAATTGGACACAGTCCTATGAAACAGCTTGTTCTGCTTTGCGTAGACAAGCAAAATGATAACGTCAGAGAGAAGCTTGAGAGCGGCCAAGCCCATAAGGCCTGTTCTACAATACAGTCGTAAGCTGTAAGTCGTAAGAAATTGACCAATCACAGATAAATCACAGAAGAATAATCGATTGTGATTGGTCAATTTCTTACGGCTTACGGCTTACGACTGTATTGTAGAACAGGCCTAAGAGAAAATGTGTAATCACTTTACCGCTCTGTAAGCCAGCGCAATGGTCATTCATAGTGGTGCACATTGCCAACTATGTAGCCATGTTCACGAACGACTTGTCGGTACGTACGCTATGATTCAAACGCGGACATGGTTCTATTCCGTGATATGTCTATGATCGTGCGGTTCTATTCCGTGTTACGTGCACAAGCGTCCGTGTCGTGTCAAGAAAGATCGAACAGCCCGGCCAGTACCATACCACGGTGTAAACGGTGTAAACGTGGCCTGGACGCTCTAATTTCTCTCCCAGATATCGGACATTCGCGCACACGCGTGCGAAACGCGTATATGTATTATACACACAAACACATATACACACTATGTCATATGTATGATTCTTACAATGTTTATATTGTTTGTACACGCGGTTTGACATAAAATTGGTAGTGTTCTTTTGAGTGTCTTTAGGATAGTCTCATCGTTTTCCTTTATGGATGATTATTTTGATAAAAATTCTCCGCTAAATACCTCGTTACTGTATACAACGATGAATTCCGCAGGTAATAAACGGTTATGAACGTTATTCGTGTCATTCGTCAATTGTGGAAAACTGACACATTTTTTTAACATTGCAGTAAAAAAACGTTGTCCCTTTTCGGAACAGTGTTATCGAAAAAATCCGATTCACTTTAGCGAAATGTCACATCCTCATTGTGAGTATTTGTATACAATTGAAAGTTTATATATAACAAAATTTATTAATATTTGTTTTTAGTGGAAAACTTGTTGATAAATCAACTGGATAGTGTAATTGAAATTCCTGAGGTTCTCCACTTTACGTGTAATGATCGTTCGCAGTTGTTGGATCAATTGAAAGTATTACAAATGGTGCTTAGAAAAGAAAGAGAGAAAAATAAAGAAGTTTCATCTGGTTCGTCCTCTACAATACAATCTTCCTCCTCTGCCACATCAGGTGTCAAAAATGATTTGAAAGAAAAAGTAGAAAGACATAAGAAATTATTGGAACAAAGAAAGCAAAATAAGCTCAAACAGATGGACATGGAAGCACAGGCGTTAACTAGGGCTTTGGATAAGGAAGAGAGATTGGAACAGAATTCAGAGACCATAAAAGTTAGTACAATAGATAAAAGGTAATAGGTGTGAATTTTTAATTATGAAAGATGTAATAAAAATGGTTTTTGTTAGGTGAGAAAGAGAACTCAGGAATCAACTCAGGGTTCTTCTGTAACAAAAAAGATGAAACAAATGAGCATTGAAAGTAGCAGTTATGACAATAAAAAACAGAATTCTCAAAGTAGTTCTACAAGTAGTGAACGAAGTTCAAGCTCCAAAACAGGAACGTCTATTATTGATCAGTATCTAGCTTGTGATTCCGAGAAGTCCAGAAATGAATTCAGAAAAACTGCTATTCAGATGATGAAAAAGTCCGGATATTCTGTATCAGTTGTGGAGCCAGGAGAATTCGCAATAAAATACGCTCTTTCGGCGCCGTATCACTTGTTTTTCACGAGAGTTGAAAAATCCAAAGAGACATACAATCAACAGTTTTCTATAACTTTTCCTGAAATTCTCGATATCAGTCTCGGAGAAATTGTCAACAGTCTACATTTCAATTTTATGGTAGACGTCGGATGGTTGTGTCTGCAGTATTTGTTGGCTGGCCAACGTGCTGAAATGACAATATTATATGGTGAGAGAGTAGATCAGGAGAAAGTTGGCAGCAACATCATCTTGAAGGAAATAGAGATGCCAACAAAATTTGGTTGTCATCACAGCAAAATAATGATCTTGCAGTACAAAGATGATGGCATCAGAATAATTGTCTCAACTGCCAATTTATACTCTGATGACTGGGAAAATAGAACACAAGGGTTTGTCGAATACGTTTTAGATGTAGTTTTTTGAACGATGCAATATGCATATATAAATAAATGCTTAAAATTGTTTTGATTAGATTATGGATCTCGCCTCATTTGCCTCGACTGTCAGAATCCGCGAATCCCAGTGACGGAGAATCTCCAACGGGTTTCAAAAAGGATCTCGAACGATATTTGAACAAATACAGAGATCCGATTTTAACACAGTGGATATGGGCGGTGCGAAAAGCGGATTTCTCTGCCGTGAATGTGTTTCTCGTCGCTTCAGTTCCCGGGAATCACAAGGATGCTGAAGCTAATTTTTGGGGACATAAGAAACTGGCGCACGTTCTATCGCATCATGCTACATTGCCGCCAGATGCTCCTCAGTGGCCTATAGTCGCTCAAAGTTCCAGCATAGGCAGCCTCGGTCCGAACTTCGAAAGTTGGTTGTCGAAAGACATAATTCCGTCTATGTCTAGGGAGACCGCGCAAGGTTTAAAAAGTCATCCGAATTTCAAGTTTATTTACCCATCGGCAGAGAATTACAAACAAAGCTTCGACTGTCGGAATTTGTCCTGCTGCTTGCCATACAGTGCACAAGTGCATTCGAAACAAGAGTGGATAGAATCTTATCTATAGTAAGATTGAAGTTCCTATAGTTTTCGTTTTGTTCCGTTCAATTTTCTAATTTAGAAATGATTTGTTTCTACAATCGGAATAATATTGTTATCTAGCCAGTGGAAAGCTACGCGAACAAGACGAGACCGTGCGATGCCTCATATCAAATCATACACGAGGATTTCACCCGACTTGAAAAGTATTCCTTGGTTCGTGCTCACAAGTGCAAATCTGAGCAAAGGTGCATGGGGAGTTCAACGAGTCAACCATTACATAATGAGCTACGAGGTCGGCGTTATATTCCTACCAAAGTTTATTGTGAGTAATAATGGCATTAAAATGACATTTAAAGAGCATTAATTGTTTATCGCTAATCTCGCTATTATTTCTTCTAATCTTACTCATCATAGAATTGATTTATATTTAGACAAATACGACAACGTTTCCTATTAAAGAAGAAGAGGATCCGGCTGTGCCAATATTTCCGATTATATACGATCTTCCGTTGTGCCGATATGATTCAAACGACAAACCTTTTGTCAGCGAACTTCTCTACAGTTTAGGTAGAAGCTAATTATTTTTTTTAAACTGATAAAAAAAAATTTAAAAAACCAGAGAATTTTTTAATTTGTTTTTGTGTGTGAATTGTGAGATATTTTCGCAAGATTGAAATTTATGGATAAAATATATATATATAAAATTTTTATTAAAAACACAAATACATTGTATGTATTATGTTTATTTACATGTGTATTTGTCACTTTTATACTTTTTGCATTATCATTAGAAAATAATAATTGTCAGCATTTATTTCCTGATTAAAATTTCCTCATGTAATTTCCAAAGGTAAATAACAATTTCCATAATGCCTATGCAAGTAATCATGTTTGCATATGTGTGTGTGGAATTGATTATTTTTCTTCTAAAGACAGGATTTTCCAGTATTTCTACTGTTCGTATAACATATTTTTAACTATTATTAAGTGAATATTATCGCGCGCGCTTGCTATTAAATACGGAAAAACAAAGAAGCTGAAACTTTTATGAGAATTCTCCCATTGTGCGTGACTTTTTTTCCGTTTCGATTTTACTGAGTAATATTATGCCGACCGCTTCAGACGCATGCTGTTTTCCATAAAACATCAGTATGAAAGTGCTTCCTCGGTGTGAGGGATGAGACGTCATTCCTTGTGTGCTGTCTATTTTGCACATGTTTAGCCTTCAAACGTTCGTTAATGAAATCGCTATATTGTTGTATATATGTGCGGCAGTTACGCATATACCGAGTTGTCAATGTATCTAGTTAAGATAAAAAGTAATGTATAAGAATCGTAAAAATAGCATTACGATTATCTCGATATGTTGGTATTTCGAACACTATAATTATTAAAACGTGGTGATGAAAGAGTCTCTTTTTTGTCTCAGGGTACAATAAGTACGCTTAAAACCAGTCCAAAGTGTCATTTACAGTTTACGTTCACATTTAATAAGGAATATTTAATGAGAAACTTGGTATCGAGACTTTGAGCGTAAATAACGTGTTTAAATTTGCATAAAAATACTAAAGAAATACGAATGTTTCAGTTTTTGCAACATATGTATACGTATAGTCCTACGTATACATAATTATTTGTTTGTTTAGTTTGACACTTGATTCAACACATTCTTTTTGTTATACTGTACATTACTACAAAGCAGTGTAAACATTATTTATTTCGGCAAACATGTGTCACTTCGAACAGTTCTTATTTCTGTCGATAATATTGCTTGATAATAATCATATATCATATTTTTTTAAACAGATTACCACTTTTTAGATACGACAAGAAAAATCAACACGATGAGCGATCTAATTTGATTAATTTATTAAGCATATGCATATGTACATGTACATTTTTACATCCTATGTCTGATCATTTATTTGTGTTATATATATATATAACATTTTTTGTTATATAAATAACAAAAAATATATATACATATACGTATATAAATAACACAAAAATCTATATATATACGTGTATAAACTAATCTGTTTTTTTTAACATAAAACTTAATTAAGATTCTATATACTTATTTTTATTTTTTTTCTATTTCAAGAAAACTCACTTGTCTATAGTTATTTTCTTAGTTAATTTAGACTATCATTGAACGTGTCATCTCGTTTACGTATACTTATATTTATTTATTACAAACTCTTTGTTAAAAAAATTAGATAGTTTTTCTTGAATTTATTATTTTTACTTAATTTATATTTAATTTATTATTGAACACAACATTTGTTACAGTCTTTTGCTACAAAAATTAAATTTTTCATCAGGATTATCGGGACGCTCTGAGATTCATACTTTTTTCCAAACCACCCCTTATAGCTCTTACAAGGCTTCCCATTTTGTCTGCGGCTCGCTTTCGTTACTGGATCAATTCTCTTTCGTGTTAGAACTCACTGGGAGCGAGTGACGTCAAAGTTCTCTGAACCGCTCTGAACCTGAACCTCCCACCTGAAATCCAAGTTAGATGTTCTCGGCGCAGATGCGGCTTTTGGAAGGGACATCCTGGCGACGGCGGCTAGTGGAGGACGTCGATCATCAGTATGTGAGATGGCATCAAGAGAATAGGAAGACTGCCATCAGGTGTGTTCCTGGCCTTTGTTCATTCACGTGGTTGTATTTGTATTTATTCAGTAACGGCGATTATCTCTGGGAAATTTTACTACAAGATAACATATACTATCTCGTAAGTGTTGACAGAAAAAAAAAGTACGGAAAGTGACGCAATTGTGTATGTATGCGTATGCACGTGTATAAGAGATGTGTGTGACTCGAATGTGTGACTGCACTTCGTGCGTGGACAACAAAATTTTTTTCGGCAATACATTTGACCGGGAACGTGTCGCGCCTGATAATGCGACGATAAAAAAAAACGAGAGTGTTGAAAGTAGTTTTGCACAATGGCACAACGAATTTCTTTCGCCTTATCTTATCTCATATCTATTTATTGATTTTCTTTTGCCGATTGGTCTAGTCCGGACAGTCTCACGTTGGCGCCAGTTAATTATATGCTCGATTTATCTTTCTTTTTTTATTTAAACAAAGTAAACTAAAATTTCTCGCACCAGAGTTCTCCACTCAATAGATTTTGATACCGGAAATCCGGATTTTTTCTCACAATTTTTTTATTTGTAATTTCAAAACATTTTGTCAGTGATGATTCACAAAACAATGTTTAATGAACAAATGACAGTCCAAACAATAGTGACAGTACGGAGCTTTTTGTTGAGAGTTTTATTTCTTCTTAAGTTTTAAACGTGATTAGCGAGCATTAACGCTATTATTGTTATTTGTTTCTGGTACACTCAATTTCATTAATTCCTTCACTCATGAAGTTGCGTCGTCGTTGTTATGTCATGTGTCTAAATATTATTGGTGCAACTTCACATGTAAATACTCTATAAAATTGAATGTTTTGTTTATGAAACGATAAAAACTGGCTGATATGATCTGTCAGTAATAAATCAAGTACGATTACGCATAATCAAGTTAATTTGTAACACAAATATTTATGAGAAAATACAAGTGTAACTCATACATACGTAATATTTCCATATATTTACGAATCTAAAAGAATTTATTATCTACTTGTGTTAGTACAATTTTATTATTTAGGAATTTTGATTGGTTTCCCTAACTCTCATTCATAATTCTTTTTATTTCGCGAATGCTTAAGGAAATAACTATGAAAAAATACTTGTGTTTTATAACATATATTCAAGGTTCGGAATGTTGCTCTTGTATATCTATATAATCTTGTCACGTACACAAAATGATTTGTAAAAAGGTAAGCAATAATAAATGTGCGGACATTTGTCATTGACAAAATTATTTGCGCGAGAACGATATGAATTACATTAATAGAAATTATTTTCTTTTATTTCTACATTAGCTATTATTTTCAAATAAACAACATCTACTGTTAAGAATTAACAGATAAGATATTTAAAAATATCTTAAGTGAGCAGGATAATATTTATATATTGAAAATGCAAATTGAACATCATAGATAAATTTGCTCTTGAATAATAAATATGTACAAATTTATCATGAGGAAAGATTTAAACAATAATGAACAGTTCCGGTGTGATATGTTAATTAATTCATTGAAAAAAAAATGAATAAACATCTTGATCAGAGGTCAAAACCCGTACTTCCGCATTTAGTAATGCCTATGAAAAATGTTTTACTTGTGCGATAAATTCGTTTATCGCGATAATTTAAAAAGTAGAAATAAATTCTTACTTGTTTACTAGATATATAGGATTGTTTTACATAAGCATCTACGAGATATATTGTAAAGAATCGCGAATTATAAAACGTCACTAAATTAAAAATAGTAAGAATATAAAATGAGTTTAATTTAAATATCAAGGCAACATATTGATATATTTTTTATTTAAATAAGGTTTAACATGTCAATTCTGCTGCGGTTTGCTTGGGATATTTCATTACAATGAGAAATCAACATTTCCACTCACGAGAAGATAGGTCTTTAATCGACGCATTAATAAACTGTCTGGACGAATCGATAAAAAAACACCGGTGTGAGCTACTGGTGCAGCAATAAATTTGCTAACTGCAACTTCTGTTAATTCATTGGGTATTTTCGACGAGCAGAAACGAAGATCAAAATGATGACTTGTTGGGTCCTCGTCGGGGTTCTCGGTGTCATCGTGTTTCTATATGGCCTTATTGAATTCCACTATTTTGTGCGCATGCTCTTCACCATCATCTACGCACGTTTTTGCAAGAAGAGAGTGAACATTCTCGATGAAACTGTGGTTTATGGTACGTTGTTCACCAGAAATAATTTTTTTCTTTTTTTATGTTCCTTTATTGCAAATAGGTTTACACTTAACATTTCATTACGAGGCGTCAATCGAAGGGCAATCACTTTGAAAGGTCATTTACAAGGTTTGTCTTGTTACGATGTAATCTAGGAATCCTTATGTGATTCGCCTGTATCTTTGTACTGTATACGAGCCTTGACCTACCATATGTAGAATCAGCTGGTTTGTTAAATGTCGTGTCGCAAATCCGGACGAGTATTGATTGCGCACTCTAATGCGCTTAAATAGCGCAAGATTCAAGTCTTTTCACGTGAGACGGCATTTATTTTAAACAGAGCGAAAAGAGACTGAAGAAACTAAGAATGTTGTTTCGAGATCTTCTACGTCTAAAAATAACGGAAATAATTTTTTTTCTTAAAAGAGAATTAAAATTATGTGACAATTAATAAGAGTCAGAACGTTCGTGCTAATAAAATCGGTTCTGTCACTTGACTATTTATTATCTTTATTGTTGTTGCACATCCGGACGTGGAATTTTTATAGTAAACATGGAAATGTCAATATATGTCAATTTATAATGACATAGTCAATTCTATCTTTCTCTTGTTATTATTATTTTTTTTTTTTTTAAGAAAGAAGAATTCTTCCTTACCTTCGTATTTCTTTCGTCCATGACAAGATTTATACACATAGCAAATGTAATGTTACGGACCGATTGATCATTCGTAATTATACAGCTGCTCGATCAGTTACGCATCCTCAATTCTTTTAAACTCATCTAAAGTTAAAATCAACCATATCCTTAAGACTCCCAGATACTCGTGAAACTTATTGTATTATAAACGTCAAAAGAGACAAATGAAGTTTTGTGTTTTATTTAATTTGCATCCTTAAATAATTTTACTTTGTTTATATGTGAAAAAACTTAGAGCTTTTTTTTAATGTAAATTACATAAACAAACATTTATACAAACACATCATAAGTTTTTTCTGATGACATAATTCAATACGAATGTAACGAGAGTCTATTTATAACGCAAAAGAGAATCTACTTAAAGTTTATTGTAACGACACGTATAACGATATATGCTACAATCATTTTCCATACATTTCTAGCAATTTGATTGTGTTATGCAACACAAAGTTTGTTCTGAACATTTGTTTCATGATTATGCGATATGTTAACTAATGATTATACATTAGTTTGAGGTTTTGTGTGAGATAATTTTTTCATATATATATATATTGACTGATTGAGATAAACATGTCTAGACTATTAGTAAGTTTTTAATCTGATCATGATTATATAACAAATATAATTTCCGCGTTGCGTCTAGCAGCACAGAGATTTTATTCTTTTGTTATGACACATTTGTTTTTCAGGAATTTGCACAACCACTGATATAGATACTCTTTTATATCACATGAACAACACGAGATATCTTCGCGAGCTCGATTTTGCGAGAGCTGATTTTTTCGAAAGAACAGAACTGTATCGAGAGATTTGTTCCCAAGGATCAGGTTTTCTACAGGGAGCTGCTACTATACGTTACAGACGTTTTATTAGACCACTAACAATCTTTAAAATAACGTCTAAGGTGAATTTAATTTATTTAAAAGAAAGTATTTCTACCTAGAAAGTATTTCTCATTGAACATTTCTTTCATACGTACAAGATAAATACATTGAACTTATGCTATTTTTTTTTTTAATGAGAACTTTTTTATTAAAGTAACGGCGTTATGTCTCAATTTTTTTTTAAGAACAAAACGAAATATTTTATTACATAGTCTTTGAAAACATTGAGTTTATGTGGAATTTAGAAACACTTTTGGCATAATGTTATAAATGTTTCTAAACTGTTACTTGACAATGTAATCAATTACTTTTATCAAGAAACTTTATAGCCATATGATGAATATACGTGCGAGATATATGTATATATTTTAACGTGTATTATAAATTAATACGCATAGAAAATTCGAATTGAATAACAAATCTAAACTTTATGTAGGATGCTACTTTGCACATATATAAACTGCTTATTTATTTCTCAACAAACTTGAAAAAATTCTATTGCAATAAAAGACATTTTCATCAGGAATCGAATTCAGATCTCTCGCATTCCGTTCAGTCACCTTGACCAAATTTTAAAGAGCGATTGCACAAAATATGAGAGATCCGGTTCGGCTGGCTGCTTTCTTCTGGTTAAGATATCTTTAATTGTAATTGTAATTGTCCCTTCAACCTAATCTAACATTGTCTTATTTAGTCTTGTTTTTTTAAATTTAATCAATTGTTTTTTTTTGGGATGATGACTTTCAGATTATTTATTGGGACGAAAAGGACGTCTTCATGGAGCATCGATTCATTACGCCGAGCGACGGTTTTATAAGAGCCATAGCAATTTGTAAGCAAAGACTTCTTAACTGCAACGCTGATGCTGTTATCGGCGCTTTAATAAACCGTAGAGTAAAGCAAAATGGAAATATCGAAGCAGGTGTGACGCAGGTAGGAATAAATTGTAAACATGTATAGAAATAATATTGTTTTCAACTTTCTCTTTCTCTCTCTCTTTCTCGTTTTCTTGAGTTATTATCAAAAATATTTTTACTTTTCATTATTACAATTATCATTAGTTTGTTACTTTCAGTTTTAGTATATTTTAATAACTTTTTTGTTCTTACCATTGTTTTACTGTTAGTTTTTTTACTTATAACTGTTGTACACAAGAAAAGTAAGACTGTATATTGAGATTACTAAAAAAAAAAAAAAAAACAGTATATAATGTCTAATATTTATATATGTTTAATTTTTTTAAATAATCTTTGAAAATAACGCAATTACTTACGTCTGATATTTCAGATATCTGTCGTGCGGCCAGAAATGCCACTAGAAGTGAGCAAATGGATCGAGAGCAATGAGATATCCTCAGCAAAACTGAGGAATGAATCGATTACGGTAACAACGCACTGCTGACAAAAAGATGAGACAGCATCAAGCAGTGATGCTGTGATAAACAATGTTGCTGTGATGTATGCAACTACGACTGTGTAACAATTATGTTAGGAATGCTATATTTTTATTCTTTTTAACCATCAGATGGTATCCTAAGTTGAATTCCGGAAAGAAATCAAGTAATTATGATGTTTTCTGTAACTTGTAACTTCTTTAAGCTTTTCTCGATAAGCTCATGTAAATTATTTTGTATAGGTTTCAAATTCTTGCTATTATTACTATTTGAAGTAAAATAATTGTTACTCTTATTTAAAATGGTAGAAATTTTAAATTTTACCAGTCAAACATTTATTAATTATGTAAACATTTTTTTTATACGTTCTTCTCTTTTACACATGCAAGTAAAGTTTTATAACTTTGAGGTTTTTTTATCAATAATGCTCTCTATTATCTTATACAAAAGTTTATTAAAAATAATTGAACAACAAATATAATAACTAATTGATCAAATTCTTCCAGCTTTTATAGATTGGTCTTAATTGGCGAATTTACTGCGTACAAACTGTTTAACAAATCTATGATTAAAAACGATGTACAATTATCTAATGATATGTAAGAAATAACATGATTTAATGCAGTCGTGGGTGGAAAGTAATTTATTTTTTTCTGATATATTTATGCAACAAAATATATGTGAATATCTAGCTAAATAAAACAATATGTAAAGCGGAAATGTAAATTTATTTTTTTATCTTTATGTTTTACACTTATATATTTTATTCGCATAAATATACAGAAAAAATCAACGTAAGATATTCAATTAAAATAACGAGGGATTTCAAGTTTAACAAGTTTTAAAAACTAATAATTAAAACTTGAGAAAGTATATATTTAAAAAATTGAAAATAAATTGTTGATGTGTACAACACTTTTCATTAAATGATAAAATCATATTTAAAAATTAGAAGTTAAAGCAAATTTGTGCCATTACATATTTGTTATGTTAAACTTTTTGCAAAACTTTGTCAAAAATTAATGTTCTCTTTCTCTATATTAACATGTAGAATTAAAAATAAAAAAAAAACACTTTATGGAAAGTGTTACTGACTAAAGAAAGGGAGAGAGAGAAAGAGATATGTTGTTGTCACATTTCAAACAGTACATGTCTCTAAAAGACGACTAAAAAACGACTTAAAAACGTCTTATTATCTTCTAGACATCTTTAAGATGTCCTTGATCTTTCTCTGCTGTCTAGGATGTTATATCTCGAAAGTTTGTTTATACATAGTGCATCTCGCACAATAAAAAATATATAGCACAGAAAAAATAAGACAGCATTAATTGTTTTCAATATAACATTTAGATATTTATTTCCATTTGTAGTATATTAATTAATTTAGATGCCTTAAACATTCACTTAAAATATATATTTATTAGACTCTTAATATGTGTTGTTTTGTAATTTTTTTAACCTCTTTCAGTCTTTATATTTTATGTTTTTATTTACTTATACAACAAACACAAGAAACAATGTTACAATGGATAGATAACGTATCGAGTTTTACTTGCAAGTATTCATTATTAAAGTTAATTCGAGAAAGATGCTGAATTAATTACTGCCAATGTCACGATGCTTTTTTGTTTGTTAGATTACTTGCGCCATTTGCGTGTTTATAAGCTGGCTGCATTTTATCAAACGTTATTTTTCTTGCATGGTATTCTTCAATTGCGAGAGCCAATCAAAACGCATATTCAAATCAGATAATAATCGTAATAATCTAAAGCTGCGTTTTGATTGACTCTCGCAATAAACCAGTACATGATTAAAAAAGCAAGAAAAATAATATTTGATCTATCACGGTGATACAGCAGAGTAGTCAATACAGGAGCACAATTTAAATAGTAATTTAGTAAGCAATTATGCAATAAAATAATTTTTTTTAAATACTAAAAAATTACTGAAAATGCTGAAAAAATACTGAAGATTATATATCAAATTTTATATAGCTTAATTGTTCACGATAACAGTTAAGATCAAAGTCCGAAATAAATGTAAATGTCGTTGTGGAACTTATCGGAACCGGTTTTCTTAATTGCGGTCAGTGTTCCGTCAGCCGTAGAGAAGCGCGCATCGTTCAGTCTAGTTCATATACCAAGGAAAGACGTTAGAAGACGTTAGAAGTAGAAGAAACCGACAATGTTGTGCTTCTGCAGCGTGGCGACAATCGCTATTCTTTATTTTTTCTTCGATCTGAACTATTACGCGAGAATTATTTTTACTATCATGTGGGGTAGACTCTTTGAGAAAAAAAAGAAGATTCTTGATACGACTACGATTTACAGTAAGTTTTATGTTAAAACATAATTATATATTTTCTTTAGACCGCATGCTAGGTTAATAAAATCTTGTTTTAATTTTGCTTGTATTTTATATAAAATAAATCTATATTTCAAAATAAAAGATTATATAAGACCAATGCGAGCAAAATTACAGGATGTTAATATAAAAACTTATCTTTTTACTAAAAAAACTAAGTTTAGACATGTTGACTCTAAAGTTAGATGGTCATTGGTGAAAATTTAAATACATAAAAAAAATTACTTTATCATAAGTACATTATTTCACCATTAAATCGTTTTTGTATAAATGACTATATTATGCTAATTGCTAATTTGTGCTTTTTTGTTATGAGTGTCACATTGATTTTATTGAATTAGTTTTTTATTTTTTGTGTTACGTAATTACAGTTTTTCTTCAAGATATTTTATCTCTCTATTTTAGCTACTTTAAATATTTTTGGCCTAGATATGACTGCGATAAAGTTTTTACTATCCCAGATAACCAAGACTGAATAAGCATATTTTTGCAAAGTCTGCAAGAACACATTAGGGTATGTCAGTATTATGTAGTCAGCATTCAAACATAATCTTATTTCAATTAATGTTGATAGAAAAACAGAAAAACAAGAGAATATAAATGTATCATGCCGTGATGCAAATATTATTGCATCAATCAAGCAGAACTTGCTCAAAAAATGTAACAGATTTGAAGCATAACATGCTATTGTCATTTTATTCTTCATTTATTTCTATATTTTTACTGTGTTGTTTTCTTTAACATATCGTGTGCCTACATAATTCACTTACTATGATGATACAGCTGCAAAGTGTTGATTAAACCTGCGTGCATACTGCTGGCATACTGCTATCATTTGGCCATCGGGGCTATTTTTGATGATAATGTTAAGAGGGTACTGGATACNGACTATAGACACCTGTAAACCGACATTTCTAGAAGTCCTCTGGTGTCGTATTTACTGCATAAAATCTAAAATGCTTTTCCAGAAATAAATAAAATGTGCCAAAATTTATCGCTAGCTACTTGTGGTTGTCGAAAATAAACATAAATTTTTACTGATACAGTTTTCTTCTATAACCTCATTATATATTCACGTGGCAAGTATTTGTAAACTTTTATACGTATTTAAACTTAGCTAGCGATAAAGGTACGACAAAAAAGAATAAAATAAGACATTCCGATTATGATTGGAATGTGTAGTTAACGAGAAAAAGAGATGGCAGTATAGGTTATCATATGCTATCATTGTGAATGAAAAAAAGAGTCTCAAAAGGCATTATATATCTATTTTCAAAAGCACTAAATAGTTGTTTATATGTATTTGCTTCTATAGAAAACGTCGGTTTACAGGTCTCTATCCAGTTTACAGGCCGGGCTCCAGTACCCTCTTAATCGTTTTAGTTCATATGTTTTGATAAAATTTAATTATTTCTGACTGCAAAACTGTGATAATTGTAAAGAAATTTTAATATGTGCTGGTTTTAAAAGTTTGTTATGTAATTGAGAGATTTACTGATAAAAATCCAACCTTAGAATTAAAACGTCCGAACTTAAAGTATTTTTTAAGTAAAAAATCATTTTTTACATTAATATTCTATTTTGATTCGCATTGGCTTTAATCTTGTTTTGACATTGTCACAAATTTATTTATCGATGATAGATGTCTGAAAGTTTTGTTCTGTGTGAAAAGTTTATTATATAAAATGTATGCCTAGTATTATGACTTGCTTTTTACACGTGTATATTACATGCAAATGTATTCATCAATACATACAAAAAGAATGGAATGGTAAATATGACATTAACATATTATGCGTCTTTTAGATTTTTTTCAGTTTGATAGAACGTTGTTTTACAAAAAACTTATACATATTTTCTTACAAGTATTGCTTATTAAATTTCTATATTAAAAATATAATTTTATATAAAATAAGAATAAATTTAATACATAATTATATTAAATAAAAATTAATTTAACATTTTTTAATTACATTCAATAAAAAAAATTTGACAGCTTAATGTGATATAGTAATAAAAAGTATGAAATGCTGAATGATGATGTGGATCAAGTAAGAGCATCTTATTTTGCTCATTATTTTATTTTGGTTTTCTAATCTAAACAATTATACATATACAGGATGTCCTACTTCTTGTTTATTACAGTATTACAGTATTTGTTTCTTCGAACTGAATAATGATTCTTTTCGGTATCCTCCTATCATAAAAAATAAGCGAGATATTTAGAATGCTCAAGTTAAGTGGGACACCCTGTATATGTATGTATATATATATATATATATATATATATATATATATATCACATACATATTAATGTCATATTGAAATTAGCTGTATAATTTTTATGATCTATAAACGCTAATTGTTCTTATTTATATTCTTACTAAAATTTTAACATGTCTTAAAATGTCGCGATCCGTCGTATGATAAATATCGTTAATTTTGCTATTTTATTTATGTTTTGTTATATTACAGTTCTCGATCAAGCCAATTGTGGCATGAGAAAAATTTCAATTGTAGAATAACAAAAAGATTTCTCTTATTTTAGGTATATGTTTCACTCAAGACATTGACTTGGTCTTAAAGCATATGAATAACGCGAGGTATTTGCGCGAGTTGGATTTTGCGCGTTTTTATCATTACGATAGATCAGGACTATTCACAAAAATCACAAAAAAAGGCGGTAGTGCTGTTCAAGGTGCTAGTAGTATACGGTATCGTCGAGCACTTTCTGTCTTCACGCCGTTCAAAATTACCACAAAGGTATGACCCGCATTTAGATTGTATTGTTTTGTTTTATTCACAATTACATCATTTACAATATAATCGAAATAAATTAAAACTTTATCTGATTTTCTTCACAGGTTATTTATTGGGAAGACAAACATCTATATCTAGAGCATCAATTTATTAGTCTCTCGGATAATTTTATTCGCGCAGTTGCATTAAGCAAACAAACACTAACTGAACTAAAGATACCAATAAACGATATAATAACCGAAATCGAACCGGACATTCGTAGGCCAGAACTCACTAAAGAACTTCAATTATGGCTAAACTGTATGGAAGAATCGTCGCAAAATCTAAAAAAACAGAGATAAGAAAAGATCTAAAACATTAAAATTGCAATATTTGCACATAGTGTAAGTCATGATATAATTATAAGTATACGTTATATATATGTATACAATATGTACTTATACCAAAATTATTAAATAGCAATAGCATTTTAGCAATTTTATTTTTACATTTGTTATTTATATAGTTTAAAAATGGTTTTTTTATTGTTGGATTTCTATGTTACACGATATTCTGTTACATGTACAAAATCAAATAATAAAATAAAATATATTTCATTTATTGGCATCAATACATATCCCAAATATACGATAATACAATAAACTTAAAACTTAATGCTAAAACTCTGATGATGAAAAACACTATTATTTTTGTCATTGATCCCAAAATAAGTTTACTTGCAATTACGTAATTATAGTGACGCTATATATTTGGAATAAATAATCTGATCACACATCGGAATATATATAAATTTACTTAAAGCTATATTTATCAACAAATTATATCGAAAGTTACTACATTCAATAGAACACTGAGAGATATTTTCTCGATTAATTATTTTAATGAATTTTATAATTTGTGTCACATCGCACACACTACGAGGTTTCAGGACAACTGTTAGATGGCGAACTTGGTACTGGCTCGGATAAAACGGAGACTGATGGTATAAAGCGTTGCCATCGCGCAGTCGATTCGCGAACTCGAAAGCTGCCGCGAAGCGAAGCAACCTTTGACTGCGCTTTCTATAAAAGTTTTATGTGAGCCATTCGGTAACGAAGAGCTCGCAACAGTTCTGCTCAGGAAAGAATATATACGGATGACTTTCTTTCTCATCCAACTCGTGAGTGATCAGTGTGTTATTATACGTTTGTTGGAAATCTTTTTGTTTTTTTTTGAAAAATTACCTGCTTTTTTCATGTATATTTATTGGTATAATCGATTGTGTCATTTGCATAATATCTCGTATGCGTAAAAAACGGATTATACAAAATCATTTTGCAATGATTGCACCAATAAAAAAAAGAATAATACAAAGAACTCCAACTAGTGATTTGATACGATAGTGAGATAAAGCGATTAAAAGGTGATGTAAAATGCGCATAAAAGAAAGAGAGAAAGAGAGAGAGAGTGAGAAAGAGAGAGAGAGAAAGAAAGAGAGAGAAGAAAAAAGAGAGATCGAGCAAAAATACAAATGATTTTGGATAATATACGTATGTATATAAATTTATATTCACACATGTGTTCCATTCAAGAATACACCGTTTTTTTCTCCAGAAAATACACGGAGTTATTATAAGTTTCGCGTGTTCAGCACGTAAAACGTGCGTATTTCTGCTTACAAGTACAATCCGAGTACGGCCGTGCGCAGCGTTGCATTCACGAATCAGCGAACGATAACTGCACTGTGCGTAAATACACGCGCGTGTATATAAAATTACGCGATTACATTACGAAAAATTATTGCATGATTTTATCAGACTACTGTTTATTGCTGTTGCGCTATTGACTAATTTAGCGCTATCATCGAATAAATATAGAAGAAAAAGCTACAAGAGAATACGTAATATAATTTATATTACGTTATTTCTTAAATAGCACACATAGAACACACCGAAACCATGAAATATTTTCAATGTTACAATTTTTTTTGAGAGGAGAATAATTAGGGAATAGTAACTTCGTTAGATTTTTAACCATTGCTTTTGAAGGTCGATGCGTGTCTGTTCCCTTGCTTCATCAAGTTAGAAAATCATCGTGTTACTGTCCGGATTAATATTGCCCATGTGTGTCTCATGGTCCCTCATCAGTCTCTACGAGATGATTTAGATCTCAACGGAAAGCATTAATATGTTTTCAGCGAATTGTCGCGACTTAACAACTAGGACTATTACGCGAATTTACAGATGCGTTTCTTGAAACAACGTTTCACGATATATAATAACGTTAATATAAATTAGACAATTAGATAATCGAGCGCGTTACTTTCAGCAACAAGTAATAAAATTTACTCTGTCTTCTATCTTTTTTACGCATTTAGATAATTGACGCGTTTATGTTGGTTATTTTTTTTCCAAGTGAAAAGTTAAAAAAAAATTGCCTTTTCAAAAAACAAAGTTTCAGAAAACGCGCTGATAACACGCAGACACACGATTCTCTCGAATACCAGGAAATCGATCGTGCGAACAGGTCGGTCGTCGATTTCTCTTCCCATGTATCTTTTAACTGAACAATCGGCGCTTTCCTCGGTGAAGATACAAGTCTTTTGGCGTATTACTTTCCCCCCGTAAATTCGTGGGAAATTGTTCGCAAACTCGAGACGTGTACGAAGATCGCTTTAATTGCTTTATTAATGTGAAGCACATCGAGATACATCCGAAGTGTTTACAATCTTGTGGAATTAGGTCTGTAGAAGCGTACTTAATTGCAATCGGAAACGTCTCATTTCAATCTTTAAACATATAGACTACTGCACACGTGTACAAAATAAGTAACTTTGATAATTTCTGACAAAAACGTGACGTTAATTTTTAATATTAATATTTTATTTATATTGCATCGTAAACTTTAAGCGTAAAAATATTTGAAATAAAAATATATATCGTGAGAGATAGCTTCTAATTTGTATAATTAAAGAGCGTTCGAGACAATGTTATTTTCGAAGAAAAGACGCGAACGTTCTAAGAACGACGCGGGAATTTTAATCACGGATTTATCGGGCCGAAAAAAAAAAGGACTTTCTTAATGCTATGGTTAAGAAAACGATCACGTATGCATGGGAAGGGCCGAGAGGAATTAAACCGGCTGAAAATCGCATGTTCGTGTGCGGCTTTGTTTGATGAAGGATACGCGTGTCTTGACATATCGCCTTACGATTAGTTTCTCCCGTACGTAAATATTTTTTTTGATAAAAATATTCCCGAGTACATCGACTGTATGATCGCCAATTACATTTAGCGACAATTTTTAACACTTATTTGTGAGAGGAGAGTAAAACAAAAAAAAACACAAACTGTCAATTATTAATTCGATAAAAAGACATGATGTTTATGCCGGAGAAAAGAATTATCGCGTATTCCAAACACGTATGCGACCGGAAGATTATTAACGAAGACACGCGCGAGAGCTTCTTTCCTCGATTACATCACGTGGGAAGTCGAGTGCGTAGGACGCATTAACGCGATCAGATGGCGCATAAAAAAAAAAAAAGGAGAAAGAGACCGCTGAAGAACCGGGCCGCGGTAACTTTTACATTTAGACATTGTCCACACACGCGCGCGCGCGCATACATACACGCACACACACACACAAATACGTTTTCACGCAACGGCAACGAGTGGGGAGATCATAGATGATCGTAAATTGTCCGCAATTGGCAGGAAGTCGAGGCCGGGGGACCGTTTGTGCGCCCCCTTTGCATTCTCGTCGGTGTACATTATTATTTTCACGCAGCCTTCCATTCCATCCAGAAATTGATTTCAGTGCGTGTGGCGATTAATCTCTTTATCTCATAATAATGATTTACGTATAAACACTATCGGGTGTTTAACTATAATATGTTATAAAACAAATAGTACACGTTGTCGTTACGCTCGAGTAGAATAATTAATTCTCTTGGAGCGTGGTTAAAAGTTTTTTTAGACTGATTTAAAAAAAGACGCATCATACACGCATTTTCGTTTTCGAATCACTTCAATGTTGAAAATTATGTTGCGATGATAGCAGAAATTTTCTCTCCTTCTCACGTATCTCGTGGATATTGGAATTTCTATAATAACGTAACAATCGGTAAGGATAAAAATAAGAGTGCATCGAGAAGTTATAAATATTTCATGCTGAAACATCGCACTCTGAAGAGCATACTTCTTTCGCACTTTTATCACATAAATGTCACCGCGCATGCACTCGTGAAATTCGAAATCGTTTCTTGAGAAGTTCGAATCGCGTTCACGGATATTTTGTCATTTTAAGATTCTACATACATTTCTCTTTTCTCTTCTCGCCGTCTTTCTTTTTCACAGCGACTTTTTCCCCGTTTCAATAGTTTAGTATTAGTAGCAAATTCTCATATACATTAGCATATTCTTATTTAACGATCGGTCGTACGTAAGTGGCACGAATATTACGACAGTGGGTGGAGTTCTGCGTGAGAGCGTGCGTCGCCTTGATAAGGCGAATCAATATTATTCAATCCTGATAAACTGCTCTCATTGCGACAAGTGGAGACCACATTAACCAGCAATGAGCTGATAACAGATTTTCCGTTAACTCGCGAATACACACGTGCAATGCAGTACCTTGGTTTTTTGCTGAGAAATCGATAAATGTCGTACATGTTTTTTGTACCGTGCATACAACAGTTGCAACAATTGCAAACAATTTGCAAAAAAAATATAACCTTGCAAAACTGTAACTTTGAAAAAAAAAAATCTTTATTTAACATACAAAGATGTTTTTTCGGGTTTGTAAATCTTTATTTCCGCAAATTGCAGTGGGTGGTAATGACAATGATATCTATGTGATACAAATTGTCACATTAGTATTGATTTATCCTCGCTTCTCCACATGAGAAGAAATAAAATAAAATCGACTACGTAGTCCGCATAAAAACTTTTACGTATTTTTTTATAACAAAATATACAATTCAGTATATCTGTAACGCAAATTGTCGACAATAATGATGCTGAATTATATGTTCTATTATAAAAGTTACGTAAAAGTTACATAAAAGTTTTTACGCGCACTATGCAGTTGATTTTGTTTTTCTCTTTTTTACATAAAAAAGCAAGGATAAATCAATTTCCTGAAATTACTTGTCTAATCTTGTCTGTATCGCGAGCAATAATAGTTGACAGAACGTAAGTGTCATAACGTGTAAGATAACGTAACTGATGACATTAGTCGCGTCTAACACGAAAAAAAAAATTCTATTAGAGGTAATTTTTTATTCAACGTTGTCCTGCATCGTCTGATCAATATCTCATTTGCATAGCTATCGCGATGACTTAAACACAAAAATTTCACATGGGCCTTTCAGTGGCCTCCGTTATTTGAATTTCTGATACGCGATGTGAAGCCTGCGATGTCTTTACATTGTGAGGAAATTGCGGAAGAAACCGATTTATGATGCATCAATTATTTTTTCTCTGGATGCAAGATTAAAGTGTTTTGAACGTAGAAAAGTTGCAAAATAGAAGATTAATATAAAAAATTAATACAAAGAAAAATAAATACACAGTGATTTTTGAAACCGAAATATTGAATTGAATTCGAATTTTGTGAGTTTTATATCATTAACGTTAGAAAACTCACTTTGAGTGATCTCTCTACTCTCGAGTCGAAAGAAAGCGACACGCGCGTATTCACACTGTGGGAAGTAACCGAGGTTGATGCAGAATTATATACCTGAGTTTCTAAGAAAGCAGCGCGTAGAGCAAAAGGAAAGAATGTTTTTTTTTTTTTTTTTTTTTTTATACACGAGACCTTTCGCTGAATGTTACCTTCACCTTTGTATAGCGTTCCGCATATTCTAAGACCTTAATTTTATACAAAAGGTTAATGAAGAACAAGCGCGCGAAACGATTGCGAAAGTGGCAACGGGAAAACGACCGGACGTATATCTCTTTCTCTCTCAGGAGATCCCACGAGCGGCCTTGAAGTAATGTTTTTTTCTTCCCGCGACTCGATGGGTCGCCTACGGGAAAAGTGACGTTCGATGAGCAATGCACGAGCGCTTCTCTCTATCACTTCCACCTCCTGCTCGCTACGTAGGTGAGCGGCTGTTGCGATTGATGTCCCGTTAGCGGACCTAGAAGCGAAGAGACCGGACCAGTCGCATCGGCTCGTTCCCGGACATATCGGGGAACAGATCGTCGTCTGGTTGGCGAGGGATCGTCCGGTCAGGTCGATTGACATTCAGTCGATCCTCCAAAGTCTTTCTTGTCAGTGCGTTTTGAACGGAATCCTCACGTCTCTCTCGCCGCTCGCGTAGGTCGCACGTCGATCTTCTTGTTCTCTTCCTTCTCCTCTTCTTCCTCAGCCTCCCGTTCCCCCTCATTACTTCTTTTTTTTCTCTCCCTCCTTCTCTCTTCCTCTCGCGCGGCTTCTTCCCCTCTTTCTTCTCTCCTCCCACAATCTATCCTTCTCAGCTTGCTCCTCGAACGGTAGACGTAGTATTTCCTGGTGATCCGTGATGCGCACCACGAGGCTCTCGCGCTGATGCGCACGGTGGGTTTTTTTTTTTTCTTATCAGTGTGATATAATCAGTTCTAATAATATTCGTCGGATATAACACAAAGTACGGGAGCTTGTATTCGCGCGAGTGATAGAAGGCGAAAGTAGTAGCGAATCAAATCAGTGCGACTACATAAGCAGTGAATTCTGAGACGTCTGACTAACGCACACTCTCTGTCGAGTTAATGTGTAAAACTGTACACGGAGAAGTGACGTCATTCTGTTCTTTTTTTATATAGCTAATATAAGACCAATACGTTAATTATCTATCTTGTTTGCAAAAGGATCAAAAGGTGCTATCTCTACGTTTACAGGAAGCATCGCCAATCCCTTCGCGATAAGAATCTGATGAAGGATCAAGTCATGGGCCGCACAGGATACACGTGCATCAGGCACGTCTTCTGTTCCCTCAACGTTCTGATTTGGGTACGCAAATTTTTCATTTAACAATCGATTTTATCGCGCGATACGATATTTCGATTACAAAAAATATCTTGTTTATAACGATACATGCTCCGAAGTTTAATTTTTGAATGAAATGAACTTCAAAATACGTGTGTGTTAATATCAAAAGGGAGGGAGGGAGGGGAAATATGTCATTAAACTCTTGTATTTGTGATTTCAGTGTCAATTAATTTTATTGAGAGGGGAAGTGTGTCATTAAACTCTTATATTCGATTTCAATGTCAATTAATTTATGTTCGCATCTACGTACACACGGCGTGTGCGGCACTTGAGTTCTATATTTGAACTCAAGTTCAAAAGTGATGTGCACAATTCAGTGTGAGAACATCTCGGCAGATCTGAATGAAAAACGAAACATTTAGTTAGCACACAATCCATAAACACGTGTAATACATACCGGTGATATCGTCAATTGGCATGACAGACATGAAACAATGGCCAACGACGAGCAGCGGGCAGCAGCGATGGCAGCCCACGCGGATCGGCGATTAAATCGACGCGCTTTTGTAATTCGCGCCGCGCGTTCTGTCGCATTCTCTGTGTTTCCTCTCCCTTCTCCTTACCCGTCGACTTTATTATTCCACTTGAAATCGACCGTCCGCGACGTCTACATCGCGATGAAAGCCTTAAATAGGGCGTTGAACCGTGTTCTATGAGCTATAAACTTACGGTACTTAAGTAGACGATAAAAGCGCGCTACAGCTTGCTCTGTACCGTACGTGAAGCGTTTCAAATACACGTGTGTACACATGTGTGTTTTACGACTGTTAAATATGTCACCTGTTTTGCGCGTTACACTTGAATACTAATTGTTTTCCTCGCGCACCGACTACGGTACATAAAAAAACGAGTCTCATTGCGATAACTTCACCGACAGATAAGAGAAACAGTGAAATTTCACATTACAAAATATAAATATACGTCGCATTTTGAGCGCTCATGTATTTACAAATACATTGTACTGTATATTGTATTTTGTCTCTCGATAAAATAAAATAGATGGAAATAAAATTTGTATTGTAACAACACACATTATGTAGATTGTGTCTTATGTTAATTTCTCGTCGTTGCGAAATTATTGCGCCGTTTCCGCGCATGCATCATTGACGATAATTAGAAAGTGCGGACTCGTACGCTTTTGTACAATTAGCTATCGGGGTCGCATAACAGTGCATTAATTTCCTAATCATACTGCGACGCGCGCGAAGTTGCAATTTAAAAATTATCACGCTGCGGTTGTTTCGCCGGCCGCGGAGAATTTCGCGGTTTTCCGCTGCTGTGCAGCTGCGCCGTTCGTAAACACGTGCAAAATATATACGTGCGCTCTCTCGCGTCCCATCGTGTCCGGATTCGATAAGGTGAGGGATGTCGCAATTGCATGCCAGAACACATTGCAATTTACGGGACTGCGGATGAATTAGCTGTAAGGTCAACATTCACCTGGTCGACTTCCTGTCACTGACAGCGCGCGCAGTGGGTTACCTAGAAATTCTATACTCTCTCGAACGCGGCCTCTCTCGTCGTCTCTCTATTTGCGAATAACTTAGCAGGTGAACGACAAACCGTTACGTGTATGCCGGTGACCGAATTGACGTTTGATACACTTTGCATCAGGTATCGGTGTGTAACAACATTGCATCACATATATATAGCGCAGTATATTAATTTATTCCTATTATTGTTGCGTGTAAAAAAAAAGTATCATGCGCGCAAGTTGTCTATTTACTTTCCAAACATTTAATCTTGGTGCGCATTGGCTACATTAAACGAATATTGCACGGCTGTCACAAAGGCAGCCATCAATTTTCCTTTCACATCGATGATTTAAAATAATATCGCGGTACTTTCTAATTTGACAACCTACTTTCCATTCCTGATTTTGTTTAAACGCTACGTAATCGCGACAATTTATTCTGAGCGTGCACATTGTCAGCCGGACATGAAAATATAACGCGACATTGACCCAGTGAACTCGCGTGCTGTGGATAGCGTGATTACAATCTCGCGATATTTTTAATTATGATTTAAGATCATACGCGTGTAACTATTAGGTATAGATTATCGTTATAGCAACTGATGTAATCTTACGATCAGGCATAAAGCTACCGTGCAAGATTGTTATTTTTTCTTTAATGTTTTATGATGTCGTTGGCTACGATAAAACTTAATTATTGAGAGTTTTATTTTATATTTCACATTACATCTCTCAATTTTGAATACAAAAATATATTATTCGTCGAATTAAACAAATTATAACTTTGTACGTTTCAAAAACTATTATTACGATTTATTTTTTTATTATTAATTGTAAAATAAAAGAAAGGCGAAAATAAATTTGATTTGATAAAATAATGAAAAACAGATTGTTATTTAGCGTATGCAACATTTCCACGTGCACGCTGCTGTATTTACGTCTCAACGAAGCTAATAAATTTTTCGTCGATGCGCGAGACAGACGCCTATGACTGGCGGCACAACTGACACGTGTAATTTGTTTTACAGTTATGCGCTTGCGGAATTTTGGGTGCGGGACTTTGGCTGCGATTGGCTTATTCCGGATACGCGACCTTGGTGCCACAGTACAGCTTTGCATCGGCGGACTCGCTGTTGCTCGCCGCGGGATGCGTCACGTTCGTCATCGCCTTCTTCGGATGCTGCGGAGCGTGGTTTCAGTCTAGATGCATGCTGATCACGGTTAGTACAACGTAATTTATTGTAAAACCGTGTTCTGCAAAAAAAAAGACGTCTAAATATAGTATACGTTGCACGCGCCTAACCGCAATTTGTTGAAACTTTCAGTATTTCAGTCTGGTGATACTCATGTTCCTCGCCGAGTTTATGCTGGGCACTTTGGCGTTTGTGTTCCGAGAGCATGTCGCGAGAAGCCTGAAGGACGAATTGCTGTACGGCATCGAGAAGCATTACAATGACACGAGAGAACCGGGAACACTCCCGGCCATGTGGGACCACATACACACGGAGGTGTTAACACGCTCGATTAAAGTGTCGCTTAGAAAAATTATAGATTTATAATAAATACATCTACGGCATTTTTTTTTGAATTTATTAATTAATTTTACATGCGTTATACTTTTACTTTAACATTCTCTGTTGCAGTTGAAAGATATTAGAATATAAATGTGTGCGTGTACTTTTTTTCAGTTTCACTGCTGTGGCGTACGCGACTACACGGATTGGTATCAAATCGAGGCATGGCCCGAGGAGGATCGGGTGCCGGATTCCTGCTGCATACAACGGGAACGATACTGCGGTCGTCTCGATTCGGAGGGTCGCAAGAAAGAGGGTTGGTACAAGGAGGGATGCATGTCCGCCATACAGATGTGGCTGGTCACCAGACTCCACGTGGCGGGCACGGTGGGTCTTGTCGTCGCCTTCCTTCAGCTGTTCGGTCTGGTGGCCAGCATGATCCTCTTTTGCACGGTCAGGCACAAACGGTCATCCCACACGTACAAGAGCTACGACACCACCAATACCTAGAATTTCAGCTCGATCTTAGACGAGACGACTGTCTAAGATCGATAGCTTTCTCTCGTATACTCGCGAATCTCTGACTCCCGTTGCACGCAGCGGGAACGAATCTTTTTTTTTTTTTTTTTCGAGATCGTCGGGATCGTCGACTTTCCTAGAAGGATCTTGCCGATTTCGATCGCGCCAAATATATATTTGTAAAAGTAAGCGGCAACGACAAAAGTCGCTTGTCGAGAAAGATCAGGAGAGAAGAGGGAATATGTCATGTTGCGGATGATTATTTAAATATTCACAAATACAGATTTACAAGTCATTTCAAATAGAACGATACCGAAATGTATGTAGTTTGTGACCAAAAAGTTTCCGCTGTGTACCAAAGCACGATAGATACGTAATCGACGAAATTTCTCTTTAGTACGAGACCTGATAATGTTTCCTCCATAATCTCCGGTGATTAAAGACGTATAATAATATATAATTGTGTCTCGACAACTATTTATATATTCGTAATTATTGTCCTAGATGTAAGAAGTTTACGATCCTTGAATATTTATAAATAGTCGTGTGTAGATATAGGATCTGAAAGCAGAGAAAAGTTAATCTGTAAATGAAAACATACACATAATGCAGTATATAATTCATTTAATGACGGGGATCGATGATCAGATTATGATCGATCGTTAAATTGTGATTTTCTAACGAAACAAGTTTACCCTACTTTTGAACTAATTGAAATGTTCTTAATTCTTATATACTCAATGTTCGTTGTAATTTATTTTCTACTTTTTACAATGAATCGATTACAGGTGATTCACCATGTTAATAATTGAGAGCTGTTAAATACGTATAACATGCATGATCGTGTGATTTAATATATTATTGAGCACTCAAGAAAAAGAGATCAAACTCCACTAATATATATAATTGCGTTATATATATAATATATATACAATATATTTAATATATACGTGTATTTTTGAGATTATATAAGCATGAATAATTTGTTAAGTTTTTTTGTATATCCAATATATATGTATAAATAAAACTATAAATTTCGTAGTTAAAACAAAAAAAATACACTATGTTATTATCATATGTATTATCTGACAAAGCACGATACTGAGCACTATGAATTTGAATAATGTTGAAGACTGTATGACACAAAGTCGAAATAATAAGCGATCACACAATGTAATATTACATACTGAAAATAAATTATTATTAATAATGAATAGTATATTTATATATAAGATACGCTGTTGAATTCTTCACAGTTTAACATATATATATCTATTTAATTAAAAAAAATAACGCACATTTTACAACAAAAATATTTTTATGTATATATGTATCTTTGCAAGTTTTACAAGTTACTTACAAGAAAATTTGAATAACCTTGGCGTAGAAGATTACGAGATGGCGTAAGTAATTGATGAGTTAAAAGAAGAACCACCATATATATTGAAAGATCGTAAATATGACATTTGTTAGACTAAGCTATAAATAAATATTAGATGTTTATTTCAATATTCAATTTTGCGATTAGTTTGTAATATCTGATTTTTAAAGGTAGAAAATAACAATCTCGATATCAACATTTGTATTAAAAAAAAAGATCAAAATTGTAAAGAAGAAATTGCTTATATCGGAAATATGAATATTTCAGCTATCTTTAAAATAATATGTATAAAAGACAAATTCTCTTGCCCATTGTTAGCACTCGCATCGGTAGGTGGATTGGTGGATGGATTTGTGGTTTGAGAGATCTGTGAGAAAGTATATCGAGAATAAATAAAAAGCAAAAGTACATGCTTGACCTATATCTTTGAATACGAAATCAAGAAATAAATAAAACAACTTGACTTGATATTAATCGATATCAATCGACATCACCTTACAATTAATCGCGAAAACATTCTAAACAATTAAGATAAAGATTTTAGTTGCACATAAAACATATGTAAAAAAGAACTTTGATAACAGCGGACACGGTAACGTGTAATTTTTTGATTACAAAAACAGAGGATGTACTTACCGTAGTAGTTGCTCCTCGAACGAATGCCAAGAAACAAGTGCTCAAAAAAAAAGCAGAAGTAACAGCAGATGCACGCGCATTTCGAATTACAAGTAAACAATAGTTTCTCAAAAATTATTTCTTACATAAAAGATTCTTGGACAAATATGTGTTTTGGTTGACATTCGACAGAAAGAACATGTGGCTGCATTATATTTTTTTTATAATCTATTATTATCACTACTTTAGTTTGACAGTCTATAACTAACATTTACTTGACATATAGATAGTAAACTAATTATTTTTATATGTGCGATAAGCTATATATTGCCGATATTCTTTCACAAAAGAAAGCGTATAATTTTATGCGACCTTGGTACATTTTCAAAATTAAGCGTGTCGGTGTGATGAGTCAACAATAAAATATCGGCAGAAACTATTGGACTTTATATATTTTAGCAAATCTCTACAATAATTATGCATGTACAAAACGCAATATTGAAGTTACGAACTGCCGAAAAAGAAAAATGACGTAATTTTATATATGTATACACACACACACATATAATATATGTGATCATATTATGAATAAACTTAAATAAATTATATAGATTTGTGAATTAAATTTACTTTAAATTTAAAATTTGTATGCAATCTACATTTTAATATATTTTGAAAATACATCTATAATTACTTCTTGTTGCAAATTTATAAAGATAAGTGTATATAAAATAAAAATATATAACTTGCTTTGTGTGTGCAATTTATAATTAACCACAATTGTAATATACAATGTTTAAATTTTTTAATTAGTTATTTTTTATACATTACAAAATAGTACATATTAATTATAACATATTAAAGATAAGAGACTTCTCACTTTTCTCTTTGTGATTATGTTAAACAAATAATCTTGCGTGTTTAATTTACAAATACGTAACATCTTATTTATAAGTATACATGTTAATTAAAAAGTCCGTTAAAGTCCCAAAACTTTTGTTTTTGCTAGATTATCGACCACACTTGTTACTCTGTTGAGATTCTGTCTGAAAACTTGATCTCTAACTGTACCTCTCTTGGGTTCCTATGTACAAAAACAAGCAACTTATTGTTTGCAGCATATTAGATTTAATAAAATAAATATATATATATCTTAAATATATATATATATATATATATATATATCTTAAAAGTTTTTTATCTGTTATAAAAATTATCGAAAATATAACTATAATAAAGCATTTATAAAGTCTAAATTGTATAATGAGCGTTAAAAAAGCTACAATCATGAATAACTATTTAAACAAAACATTTTAAGAATTTTATAATATTCTTACTAGCAGCGGTATTGCATCAAGTAGGGAGACAAGACCTTGGCTGAAACTTGTGTAGCCGTTAACGAACGCTCTCTCAATTCCATCGAATTTGGTGTTCGTATTGCCGTATTTTTCTTCCTCTCTAATTCGATCCACAAGTGGTCTGGGTGTCAGTGCATTGTACAAGCCTTCTTTAATAAAAGGCGGGATCGCTAATTTTTCTAAAAGACCTTGATCTCTTTCATTTTCTAAACGAATCAAGTTATCCATCGACGATACAGTTGTCGTAATTTGTTCCAAAAATACAGATCTGCGATTTTGGGTGGGTTTATTCGATATAGAGTGTTTAATAACTGCTGCGTTCGAAACTTCGCTAGTTAGTTGCTACAAAAGAAAAGATATATAACATACGCTATCATTTTTTACTATGTATCACAAACGAGAGAGATAGTTTTGATAATGATTGAAATAAAATATAGCGAAAATAAAAAGAAAATGCACAAAAAACAACGATAAACTAAGTGTATTTGTTTATTTGGCAAACTCGATTAACGCGATAATAACTAATGTGAGTTGTTGCACTTTCATAAGTCATTACAAAATATCCGCTCAACTATATTGAAATAACATGACGACTCACATCAGAAAAATGTTACACAGTCTCGCATGACAATTGAGTCATAGAAAAAAAAAAAAATGATTTATCATTAAAAAAGATTAATGGAATATAATTACCTCTACTCGATCGACAATGATATTTCTAGCCAATATTATCAAACTGATTAATCTTCCTCTTCCATGACTAATCGTATCTGAGATACGTCTTAATAATTCCTACAAAATAACAACTTTGACTTCGTCTGTTCAGCAAGTAACAAAGCGTTTAATTTAAATTTTACACATAAATCTGTGGTTCTTTGTTTGTTTCTGTACTGATGCAAATAGAATACATATTGTTTTTTTTATATAACAATGTTGTCAAAAAATGCATTTTCATATATTTTCGCTAGCTTATCTTACAAATACAAAATTTTACCTTTGCTTCTTCCAGTTTTGAAGATGACACGTTGTTTTCTATATTTTCCGTAGTGTTAAGAACGAATTTTGTCGGTCCCTCCGCAGGACGAGCACTCAATAAATGCACGCAACTAATAAGTAGAAGAATTATCAACGCCTGCATATTTTTTTCATGTATAAATCAGTTTTGACAATAAACTGTGTAACGCAAAAAAAAGAAAAAAAATTTAATTCAGAAAACACACTTTTAAAATAAAAACTTGATATTTTTTTCTGTTAATTTACTTCTTGTTTAATAAGAAAAATTAAAAAAAAAAAACAAGTAATTTGTCAGTTTGTCTTCTCTTGAAGAACGAATATTCGACTAACACTTTGCCGTCAATGATCGCGTACTTTACCCATCGACTTACGACATTGTATCACTTTCACTCTTTACATGCCTCTCCATATGTGTTCCAAATAAAGCGGCAAACTTAAAATTTGACTCTTTAAAGAGTCCACTTTGATAATAATTAAAAATAAAACTTTATTTAGAACTAGAAGTTTTTAACATTGTAAAACTTTATTACTAAATATAAAAAAACAGGGAAAAATTAAGAAATAATTGTTTTTGTGTTTACATGCATTTATTATATAGATAGTTAAATTCCAAGATTATTGAGAAAATATAAGTACCATATATTTTATTTATATTATACATCTTATATGCAGACACTGCAAATAATGCAATGTAACGTTAATAATATCGTTTCAGATAAGTTTCAATCATGTCTTATAACACGAAGAATATTGCAACCCAATTGACAGGAAAGTTTACTATCATGTGGTAAAATCTCACATAACACTCTGCGCAGTTCAGTCTCGTTTAGCTGTAAAGCAAGACAATTTAATATCATAAAAAACATTAATCGTGAGATTATGTAGGTAAATAAAAAAATCAAATATTTATACCTCCAACAAGAAGTGAACAATGGCATGGCAACCGCGTATAAATGTTTGGACAACCTGTAGCGTTTGTTTAATATGGCTACCGCATTGTTCATTGTTAAGAATTTCATTGCAATTGTTTGAATCCTCATTATTTTTTCCATGACTTGAGTCTTTGCCATCTATTACGCCAATTTTTACCGTGGAATTTTTGCTTTTATTATGATTTGTACCGTGACTTCCATCGATAGTTAGATTTACGTGTGTTCCCTGATCATTTTCGTGCCTAAGATTTTCTCCTGTTCTAGTTTTACGTTATTACGTTCTTTGTGCTCACTACTGGTTTTTCCGCCACTATTATGCGATTTTGTGATACTTCCTCCCGTGTGAGTGTTTTTGCTACCTTCCGTTATTCCACTATTTTTAGTTTCATTTTCTTTTGACAATCCTTGATGTCCTTTTGATTTATTCTGACTATTGTGTTCTTCATGTGATATCACAATACCACCTTCTTCTCTTGTATGATTATTATTATTTCTATTTTTATTAACATGTTCTTTGTTAGATTCACTTTTATCGTGCGATGTTATAATGTCTTTTCCCGAGTGCTTGCTGTATTCTTCTTTTTTCCCACTATGTTCATTTTGATGTTTTTCAGATCCATTTTTGTCAACGTGTTTCTTGTTCTTATTACCTGATGAATTATCAGATTTTTCTTTATCTCCTAGTGATGTTTCTTTATCTCCTATTATTATGACTCCTTTTACATTAGTTTTATTGATCTTTGTTTCGTCCGATATTTCATAAGATCCTGAATTTTCCCCATCAACAATCGGTATTATAATTACTTCTTCTTCATTCGAAGAACTGCTCCCGTCGTTTTTTGAATTAGCACCAGCTGATACGTCACCACCAATACTAGCAGATATTCCTCCAGTACCAATCGAGAAACCTGCGTCTCCTTTTACACCTGCGCTTATCCCATTATTAATTTCTTTCCAGATTTCTCCGATAACAGATTCCTCCGACGATTTTTCCGATGAAGAATTTTCTTTGGATTGTTTATGCTTTTTAGAATGTTTTTTTTCAGAATGTTTCTTCTCCTTGCTACCTGATATTCCAACGCCTAAATCGCCAGAGCCGCCAAGTGATATTCCGACACCTTTTTCACCAAAATTAAGCTTAGGTTTCAATCCTACGTTTCCTACATCAGATATGTTTGATATGAAAATATCATTTATTGTAAAAAAAAGATATAATTTTTTTCTAATGTCGATCCATCGAAAATTCATTCAGTGTTGAAATATTTCAAAGACGTTTTATATTACGATCTCCTCTTAAAATTAAAGTTTTTGCTTTTAAAAGTTAAATATACATGTAAATATTTATAAATATATATTTTTTTCACAACAAATCAGATTAAAAATTAGATTTTCACTTCTCTTACCACCAATATTTAAATCTATTCCCTTGTTTTCAGATGTCGTATCAAATGGATTTAATAAGAAGGGTTTCAAACCAATACTTTTCTTAAAGTGTCCCTCTGCACCATTTAAACCTGCAGAAATTCCGGCCTTATCTGAGAACGAGATGCCCTGCTGTGAAAAAAAGAATTCTATTTAAAAATAATAACAGACATTTTCATATTTTAATTTTGATTTTCAAAATCTTTTTTATATTGTTAATAATATTTGAAACATACGTACGCTGGTTTCTCTTTTATATTTCGACCGAGCTAACGCGCTGGCACAAACAAATATCAAAAAAATATATATGCGCATATTGCCAATTATCGGTGGCAATAATTAAATATATAATAAAGACTTCTCTTTATATACTTATAATGTTCTAAACGCTTCCACAAACTCAATTGACAAATGTTTCGTTAGACTTTGTCTTCTAATGTAACGTCACGTAGTTTTATACTTACAAGTTGGTAAAATTATATGTAAAATTATACAGAAATTTACATGTCAACAATAAAGTCAAAAATAAAATTTGAAATAAAATGTGAATATTTATGTTCACACATTCGCGATTACTATATTTACATTTATATATTTGTGCGTATATTATATGTGCAAGAAAATAATTTATTTGAATGTGCGCGCTTATTCAAGTTTTTCATGTTGAAGCATAAATTACGTAAAAATAATTGGTGCTGACGCATAGAGATAAGAAGTGCGCGTATGTGTCGAAATTTTTTGTACAATTATTTAACACAAATCAATTTGCATATCAAGCCATTTAGATACAACAATATGTTAAACGTTGTGGCAGTTTTAGTATTTTAAAGTGATTTACAATTTATGCGAAAATTACAAGTATATAATAACATAACTCGCATACAGCTCATGAAGTGTTTCGAAACTTTTGGCTTATAAAAATTTTATGATATGCAATAAAATATGCGGAAAATATAAAACGAAGTAAATAATTTGTTACAACTTCTTCGAAAAAATATCAAGATATAGATATCGAACAACTTTATTTATTTCTTTTGTGTGCTGTACATCAGCATTTATATCACGTATGCGTGTGGCGCAGCGACGTTATAGCACAATAAAAAAATAAGACAAAAAACAATAAAATTACCATAAAATTCCACTTAGGAGAGAAATAATTAATATCGAATTATTATTTTAGTATAAAACTTTATTAAAATGCTACAAGTCAGATAAAAAATAAAATACATTTTTGTAATTAAAATACATTTTGCTTGGATGATTTGTGGGTTGAGGGACAAAGAAATAATGTCGTAATATGCGAAATTACTTGCTAGCGCAATCTAATCACGTACGGGGAATCACAAGAAGGACATCTCGTGTTTGGCATGCAGGAGAGAAAATATCCGCCGAAAAAAAAAATTAATATAAGCAACGACGAATGACGACGTTGTTAAATATATTCAGGGGACCTTGCAAAAAAGCGCTTGATCTTAGCTCTTGAATAGTGATGGTTCCAAAGTCTAACTAATTATATAGTAAATAATTTTGAATACGAGTTCACAATGAGTTATTTTTCAGCCAACGTTATTTTTCAACAATTGATTAACAGCTGCCAGAGTAGAAATTGGGATCTGAAATTAGAAACTTCGTCTAATCAGAAATGCTCACACGTACAACATTTGCGAAATGTATGTGGTTATATAAAGAGCGAGAGCGTTGACTCACGTTAAAAATATCATCGAAGAGAGACCCGCTGGTGTAGGTCTTGCTTGCGGTAATTGCGCCACCGCCGGTGTAAGTTTTGCTCGCGTCGATTGCGCCGCCGTCATTACCCACCGCGCTGGCGAAAAGTTCGCCGACCACGTCCGAAGGTGAGCTCTGAGTATCGATCGCCGCTGATGGACCAACGTAAACCGTTTTTCTGGGAGCGGCCCAAAATCTCTTTCTGAAATACCATCGAGGCGGATACACAGTCTTCGTACCGACGACGACGTTTTGATTGTTCTCTGAAAGAGGAAAGAAACAATGTAAAATTTTCCATTGCACTCAATAAAAAGTCGCAATTGCTCACCAGGTATCGTGACTGCATTGATGGTGGCGTTTGCTTGAATCGTAGCCTGCGTAGGTGCAGCAGCTGCAGGTACTACAACTTGTTTTTCCACAGATTTTACAACTCCGACAACTGGCGCCGCTCCAATGTAAGCCGATTTGACCAGACCGACTTCAGCATTTATTGCACGTCGTGTCTGTCAGGAAAAAAAAAATTCTATCTTGATAATCTATCAAATATTTAGCTGTTGTGTTACGATATATTACAATTTTATCAGATCTTGACCTCTTTGTCTTGCGACTTGGTCTTTTCGTCCGCGAACGTGTCAACTGACGCAGCAGCTTCAAGCGCCACCTTCTACATTCGATATATAGATTTAATTTAACAATGTCCCATGAATACATTTTTTTTAATGGAAAAATAATAACTTGACGCTTAAAGAAAGAATTATCCCACAAATCTTGAGTATAAACTTAGAACAATATGTACTCGTAACCTATTAACGGAAGTTATTAGTAAAACTACGACTAGTGTCTACAGAGGATGTGTTAGAAGAAGAAGACTGTCAATGAACTTCCTCGCGCGTCTCGATATCTCGTTTAGATATTGTATTTGAGACCTAGAAAATTAGAATTCCTCGCTGTATCCTTTGCTCTAACCAAATGTACTTCAATTTGTAAGCTATATATAAAAAGCTAATAATAAATTTTTTTAAACCTCGTTTTTCTTCTGCGCGTTTTTTTCTCTTGAGGGAATAATCTGTATATTGGTGTAACCCTTCTTCGGCTTTGTTTCGCTCGCAGCTCCATCGGCGCTGGCTGCTGCGCCGGCTGCCGCGTCGGCTGTCGCACGTGGATTCACATCGGTTTCCTTAGTTGCGCTGCCGCTCGCGAATCCGTCGATACCTCCAGCTGCGCCGACACCTCCGCCGAGGAACACGCCGGGTCCTGGGCCACCACCTGGTGTCGCACCTGCATACATCCCACCTGAAATCGGTTTCGTTGAACGTCCATCCAATCGCCCGCCAAGTCCGGCCGCCGCTTCCGGTCTTCCTCGACCAAGTCCAGCACGAGCGTACAGACCGCCGCCTGCAGTATAAATAATTTTTATTTGCATCTCTCTTCTGTACTTATTTTTCTAATGAATTAAAAAAGGCAACAGGTTTCTCTTGAATTTTGACAATTTTAAAGTACATAAGTTTGCTTTTGAATTCATTAGACAAATATTTCGACACGTGACACAGTGTACATATGTCTTGTTCGTAAATACAAACCGAGAGTCCCATCATTTGCGCCTACTTGACCGCCTAATCCGGCGCCTGCATGCGCACCCCATGGGGTTCCCACACTTGCGTGAAGGCCACCCGTTCCTGCACCTCGTAGAAGACCGCCTAGTCCGGCCTCAGCGTGATATCCTCCGAAGTTCACTCGAATTCCTCCATCAGTGAATTGAAGGAATGGAAGCTGAAGGTATGCGGTTAATAAAACGAGTTTATTAATCAATTTGAAGACTGCGCATCAAATAAGCTTGCATTGCGCAATTAAATACTTTTCGCAAGTTTTACGAAGTTTTTCAATTTTACGCATCTGTTTGTATATTTCATGCCTAATTGTACATGACAATGCAATTATTACTATCATGATTTCCTTTTCCATGCCGCAACACATGAGATCTTCGAGAGCGCGCACGCGAAGTTTCATCAGTCGCTAACGTTTTAGTTTATTTTGAAACTAGCCACCGTGACGTTGCACGCCATACAACAATTTCTCTCAAATATTTTTACATAGCATCCGTAATGCATAAATAAATCTGAAAGTGTGATGAAATGCACTTAAATGCAAATATGTATTCTATACTTCGCTGTGCGTTAGCACATTTTAATATTCTCGCTTATATTTTAATGTAGATTTTACTTGAAATTTTATCTCTTCTTTAGAAGAGTTATTTTTGTATCGTAAAAATTATTTCAAGGTGGATGAGTGCAAGAATTATAATGACTCGCCAGACACAAAAGATACGCAAAATTCTTAACGCATATGTAACGTTGTAATTAAATATCTCGGACACATGCTAAAGAATTTGTGATAAAACGTTTGTAATGACGCTTCATCTTTTTATTTCTTTTATTTCTTTTATTTCTTAAATTCTCGGTAGCATGAGACACGTGTTACAATAACATGTGATTCATTATAAGTTATCTTTTTTTTATTACGTTTTAGGTTTATAAATAGGGAAACAACTTTGTTATTCACGTTACAGTTAATTTAATCCAGTAGTTTTAGCTTTGTAGCATTTTGTTATTTTGACGACTGCTTTATCACAAGTTTCGAAAACAACATTTAATGACAGTTAAAAAACATTTAAATAACATTTACGTTTGATAACAAGTTTGCTTTAACAAGCAATTAAATATTATTGATAAACAATTGAGTTTTGTGCAACTTTCTAAGATATCTGCAATCCTTTCTCTTTCTGCAGTAACGTCTGATTATCTAACCGGCATAAGATGTGTGTGTGTGTGTGTAACTTTTACTCTCGTGTTTTTTTCTCTCGTAGCGCATTTGACCAATCAAAGTCAATTCTCGCAATTTCGAAGCGCACAAAGCATTATTAGCTGTTTTTGTTTACTGAATAATTGCTCCCGACGACGTTGAAGTTGCAATGAAAACGCATAACGCGATTCCGTGAATAAGCAAAGTGACTGAATAATGTAACGCGCGCGACCAATGCACGCGAGCATTATTGTGCATTAGAAATTTAACACACACTCTAGACAATATTATAAGTTATTATTCTTCTATACTTCACACACTTTTACGTTATATTAACATATCAATTTTTTAAAAAATTGTGTTCTTTTCGTTACTATTGTGTAGTTTCATTATTTCTTTCTACTGATGTATTGACTAACATTTTATGCATATTTTACGTAATGATACTAGCAATAAATGACGTGGTCAAAAAGAAGTAATGTCTTGTTTTATCATTTGTAACTACGGGTACGCAACAACGTTTCTTGTTTCATCTTATGTATTGTTGTAGTACATAAGTTACGTTAACGCACACATAGATATTGTAAACGTTTTTACATAACTTCACTATAATTGCAATCAATGAATTATGTATCTTTTGCGATTAAACACATAATTTATGTCTTATTTTACAACACAGTAACTTTTGATAATTTTTAATTTGAAAATAAAAATAGAAATATTTTTAATTAGTGATAACAACAGATAATATATAATAAAAAAAAAAACTTTGCACACTTACAGATCCGGAGTTTTCTTCACGTTGCGTGGCCTCATTTTGCGGTCTTCCGCTGACCATAACTATGAAAAAAATAAACAGATAGTTAGCTACCTTGCCCAACGACATCTTCGCGTTTACTGACGAAGGAACTGCAAGTAGACAGGTAGGCAGTGATTTCTCGACTCGACTCGAGGGCATCTGCTACTCACCTGTAGCTGGAAGGGGGAAGTCTCCGACTATAGAATCCTATCATTCATTCGATAAAGTATAGGTTATAACGGATTATATACATAAAGTACAGAGTCTACAGCTAAGAAGATCCTCGAAAAATATTTAGGATGACGAATTGTTTTTTTTTGCGGACAGTTTTTGCGCGAGTGAGAAATTATTGGAGAATGTGATTATGTAATTCAACCAGAAAAACGGTGTGTACAGATAATTTTTCGATATCACTTTAGCTATATAATTTGTTTGAAAATAAAAATATTGTCGCTTACATTTTATTTATCGTTTAATCTTTGTATTTGAGAAAACATGTTTATAATTGCAAATACAGAATCATTGTTAGCGATGCACATAGAACTCAAACCGAATAAGTTGATCTAATTAATTCGCTTACAACAACAATAACAACAATTTTTGCACCAAATCCATTTCTACGCTGTCAATAATAAAATATCGCAGTATATGTATAAAATAAAAATAAATAAGATATTTTAAAATAAATTGTTGTAGAAACTACTCGATCAATTTTATTTCAATTATACGCTCTACAATATCACGATGTATATAATCAGGTTTACACAATTTATTTCTGAGAGACGCATACTACTAAAAAATATATATTTTTCGAAAATCACCTTAGTGACATTGAATATATATTTTTTGTCAACATTAAATTGCGCTTACAGTATTTAATATAGTGCTGATTTTGTAATTACGTAAAACTAACGCGATGTTCAAGAAAAGAAGCACGTTACAGTTCCGCGACTTGTGAGACACTGACAACTGATTAATCATCAAGAGATCGTTACAAATACGTCCATCTCTAAGCGAATTCTATTCGACTGTTTAGTTAAAAATATTAATTGTTTATTTTCAAAGATTTGCTTCAGAAAAAATGTTTGAATAACAACAGAATTTTTATAACTGTTTCTGTTTTTTCTGAATTAAAATATATGTATGTAGAACACACTAGAAGCGTTAAACGTAATGACATATGGCCTTTTATTGCAATGTAAAAATAGAGCGAGTTCCGAAGACCAAGGCCGTGATTTCACGCGCGCGCGTGTGTGTGTGTGTGTGTGTTAATATGCACGCTTATGATAATTAAAACTTCTACAAACACATTGTTTTCCAGCAACATTATTACATAAAACTGAATTTAAATTTAAAGACATCATAAATTGTTTATGCGTCTGTGCACACAGAGACATATTTGTTGTTTAAAAAGTTTGAAGAAATGTGTGCACAGTTAACAAACTTTATATTATCGTATTCATATCGCTTTTTTCCGTATTGTATTCATTGAATGTGTACGTATATCATAATTTACAAAAACGTTTATCATGATGTAAGCCGGGTCAGATATCAAACTTTTGACGTCACTATGTGTATAAGTCATCATTACTTAGAAATAATTAAGATAACGTGTTTTATCTAACTATGATTCATCAATTTGATGTTTTTCCTCTAATTTACATGTTTATGCATTAATAATCTGTAGCTGGAAAGATTTAAGTAGAATATAAAGTTTTAGAAAAGAGAATTATATATTTATAAATGTTATATACACAAGCTTATATAAAAAAAATTATTACATTTCATATTTGTACAATTAGTAAAATTAGTAAAAAAATCTGAAGCACAAGATGAAGATAAATATTCGTTATAAAAAATAAACTTGTACATCTCTCTAATGCGTTATTTCGTCACATATATGTTAACATTATTATTGCGAAAAGGTTATTCTTCCTTGTTTGGGTGCAATTTTATTTTCGAGAGGCGGATCGTCGTACTCGCGCGTTGGCTTATATCTGGTGTTTGCAATTTTGTTCTGGGAATTTCCATTATTAGTCGAGTATTTCGGAACTTTTTGCTTAGTTTGTTTGGGAGCGACTTTATTCTCGATTTTAATAGCGCTGGCGAAAGGTCGAGTGTGGACAGTGCCGAAACCAGCGGTTATACCGTGCCAGGAAAAAGATGTGTCCTCGTCCACGTTCTCGTGAACCTCGTAGCCATTTGGTCGATGACCTAAAAAATCCACATCTTATATAATTATTTTGTACGTCTCGATTTTAGCAGTTATAAATAATTACATAAGATCACAATACGAGCTAATATGCTGGGTGTACGTTTAAAACAAAAATACATTTTTATGTATTTAATATATTTTTATATGTGTAAATTTTCATAAAAAAAAGATAAAATGGGTAAAATAGGTAACTTACACATTGAAGACGTAAACTCCGGATTTTCAATTCTAAAAGTCATCTAATACACTTTGAAATTCAAATTGATTTCAAATTCAAGAGTAATTATATTTATTGAAGATGCTTAATTTGCAATTTCAATAAATACAAATTACTTTTGAATTTGGAATCAATTTGAATTTCAAAGTATATTAATTTACATGTAAAGATATATTTGCATGTATATCCAGTACATTGACTCGTATTGATCTTAAAACTATCTGCTGATTATAAATTTTCACGAGTTTAAAACTTGTTTTAATGTATATAATGTTTTTTCATTATAGAAAACTGAAATAGCAAAATTCACCGTTACTGCCGAAAATTCCACCGTGACAGTTATTGCCACATAACAAAGGGTGATGTCCGATGAGTTTATTAATATGATGTCCGCCATGGTGTCCGCCACCGTGTCCAACCAGGAGATCAGTCAATGCGTTTAATCCAAACGGATCGTTGAAATGTCTTACAACTCTCGTCACTTGTTGCTGCTGCACTCGCTGGTTTCGAATTTCCTCTTTTCGCTTCCTTTTTTGTTCCTTTATGGCAGCCAATCGTTCTCTTCTCTCTTGAATATTTTGCGCATTTTGCTGTCTTTGTTCAGTTGTGGTTTTAACGAGTGAACCGACAGCCTCCAGAGTCGAGACTGGAATCTGTAAATGATATTTTTGATTTTAAGAATTGATTAAAAGAGTTTGTAGTACAGATATATATACACACATATACATATTTATACATATACTAGGTTTGAATATACATGACCTTAAACAGATTATCTAAAACAGGTTGTGAATTTTCAGGTGCGATGGCTTGTGCCGCTGTAGCGGTTTGTTTGATCGCCGTTATCGGGATCTGCAAAATAAAATTTTCTTTCTGAAGTTGATGTATTATTATATTATTTGATATTTGATAATTGAATCCTAAATAAACACAATGTTAAAAGATTGGCAGCAATTATACACAAAATCGAAAAAAATTGGCAATAAATTACTACCTTTTTAACAACGTTTGTTTCTTACACATTTCACTACTAAAATGTTTGCTTATTTCATGTTAAATTTCCGAATATTAAAAACATTATTACGTTAAAAAGAGAATGACTTACGTTGAAAATATTGTCTATCAATTGACCATTTTGTAGAGGTACATTTTGACGTCGTACTCTGCTATTCGAAAAATCCTGAAATGCATAGAAAAAATTGTTTTACATTTTTTTGTAACTTATTACATAACAAGTGAAAACTATGCTTCTTCCTTAATTTCGTTAGAAATTTCTCCCCCGAGATAGAGACGATAAATACGACCCACGCTTACGTCTCAGACACTGCATCCGAGTACATATAAGTTCACGTAGGCCACGTTAAATGTCCACTATATAGTCTTTATCGTGTAACTTTCACTTTTCACAGGTTACAAATGTCAAATAATCTTTATCGATTATTGGAAAGGGGAATCCGTGTGCGCATGTATAGCTTAATCCAGCAGATTGAATTTATAAAAACGTACAGAGATTTTAATTAAAACAAAGTGATCAATATGAATCAAATTGAGAACCAATAAAAAAATTAGTTAATGTTATTGGAAGTTTTACAAAACTTATGTCAGCTAATGTTAATATTAGCCTTTAATTTACCTACATTAAAATAACTTGAGTTTTTAAATTTACAAAATTCCAATTTACAAAAATATAATTTGTGTATGTAATAAACGTGTATTATAAAATTTTTTTAATAATATCTCAACTCAAACTAAATAATATCAATCACCTAATTTTACTGAAACGCATTGTTAAATGTCAAAATTATTATCACACTTCTAAAATTTAAGATTAAAAGACAAATTTCTAAGTTTTTTTGAGAACTTTTTTGTTTATTTTCAATCTGTCAAAACCCGTGTGTAATTTAAAAACTTTTAAATTGTTATCTTATTTAGATATTTTTATTTTTATAGTATATTAATATTGTTTTATTTTAAGCAACACTTACATATGCGTCACCGAGTACGAGCAGAAGGCTCAGAAGACAGCAGCACCAAAACATCCTACGACACTTTACGAGAAGACCAGATGCGTGTACGCTTCAGCGAGTTTTAACACAAGTGGACGCGCGTTCAGATCCGCTTCACCAATCTATAAGGGCTGCCACGGGATCCCACACGGAGCGTTGACCAATCCGGCGTAAGGATCTCCGGAATTCGCGCCGGTTTCTTTCGGACGAAGAAGGTGCTTTCTATTTCTTGCAATCGCCGTTATAATGTGGTAACGACGGATCCTTTCGACCTCTTTCACCGGTCGATTATTCGAACAAACTCTTCATCTCTTTTCTTTTATTTCACGCTCGGAAAAAAAAAACTATGGCGTGGGTTGTAAACCGAAACGATTACGTAAATCGACCTGTCGCGGAGATAGTGTAATGTGACGATTGTTTTTCGCTTATTACGTAATTACAAAACCAAAGTCTTTCGGATCGAATTTGGATGCTGGTCGAAATGTCTGTTGAAGAAATTCTTATAATCGGCTGTTTCGAAAAGAGAAATAATAAAAACTAATAGAATATAACAGATGTGTCAATTTAACTGTTGTTGCTATTGTTCTCTCGCATAGTCGACATCGCGTAGAGGTCGATTTGATTAATTTCAACGGCGCAATTTAGTAAAAAAATTGCATAGTGCATTTTACATTTATCTATACCTAAACTTCATTTTTACAATAAAATTCAAATAGATACAAATAATCGTCGTTGTATTTGCCTATCTTTTCACATACTGCATGCAAACATAGTTCATTATTATATATTCATATTTATAACTAAACAAATACTATTTAATAAAAACAAATATTGTAATAAACATTATTTTCAATTACAATCTTTGGCTAAATTACGGAAATTCTCGCTACAGATGTGTGTCATTAAATTGTATGTGTATTCTCTGGACTCTACATGTATGTACATACACACACACACAGTATATATACACATGCAGCCCAGAATTATGTGAATATCATAATATTCTTCTATTTTGCTCTCTTTTGCGATATTGTGTTCGTTGTATATTTAAAAAGCGTTTGGGTTGTCCTGCAGATAGCTGCCTATCTGATTCCCGAGATTCTTTTGAAACTCTCTCACATTAATTTCTGATTGCTGAAACATTTATTGCAAATTTAGAATATTAGTAGACAATAATCTGACAGATACATTCACAAGAAAGATATGCAAAACTCACATTCAGAGCATCTTGCCATTCGATGTTAAACAGACGAATCAATCCACGTATATTTCGACTAAGTAATTGTAGCAATCCATTTCGTGTCAATCTGAAAGGTTCCATTGTAGTTGTCGTTCTCATCGTCGTCGTCGTAACGTTAACACTCGCCATGTTGCTGGACATATTATTCTGATCACTTCCTGGCGCGATTGTTGTCGTCGTATTGACGACCATCAAAGGATTACTGCTAACTCGCGATCGCGCACTTGGCATTTCCGGTTCGACCGTTTGACTGACGATATTGCTAATTTGTTGAATCGCCGATCGAGTGTCGTTGAACGTCTGAAATGAAACGGAACATCACTAGATTGGAACGAAACTCTGTCACTTTCTCTTGTAACTCAAAACTAATCGTTTTGTAAATGTGTTTTTGGCAAGAACAAATCTGAAGTTAATTTAATTTTATTCAATTCTATTTTGACTATTTAACTAATTAACTGACCGAAGGGTATAGAAGATAAAATTATTATCTGAGCGCATAACGAGGTATTATGTAAAATGCTGTTGTTGTATATACCTCAAAAGCAAGTCTCGCCAAAGTCCAGAAAAAGCCTGGCCGTTGCCTACGAACTTGCCTGACGACTCTTCTGGTCTCTTCGGGAATCATTTCCGCGATGATTCTGTCCTCGGCTGTAATCTTCGATTCGACATCATTTTCTTCAGAACTCTCTGACAGCAACTTGTCCAACACGTTCATCTTCTTTACAATTTCTTTGTCTCTTCTGCGAGTCTCTTGCTCTAACTCCGCGGAACGAGCGGCATTTTCTTTTTTAAGATATTCCGAGTAATACGGTTTAGATTTTCTATTTTCTACTCGATATTCCGGTCTTAACTTCGCCACGTTTTGCTTGACGTGAACTTCGGAATTGATGTTCCTCGGTGAAGTTCTAAATTGCAGCGAATTAATTTGATTAATGTCTCGTGGTTTCGGGACGCGCGCGTTAGACTCGAACTCCCCTCGCTCTTCGAAGGAAAACGTTGTATCCTCGGGCTGTATCCGCTGAAATTGATGACGCGCGGGATTGTTGACCCCGTAAAGGATCGACGACATCCTCTCAGCTGTGCTGTGAAGCGGACTGATCACGCAGAGAACCAGCCAGCAACTGGCTGCGAAGAATTTGATTGATGATACATGCATCTGTAAAATTACAAGATTAAAAGATATACGCGTCAGAAATAATCATCGAGTAATAAGTCACTAAATATCAAGAATCAAGATGTTTGAGTACGTAATTAGAAGAGCACAAAAACAAAAACTACAAATGAAGACAATTTTTGCAGTAAAAAAATGTTTTTAAGTACGAACTTATTTTGAGCAAAACTCTTTTTTTTTCACGTGTTTTGATTCATGTATTAAAAAATTGATAATATCACGTATACTTTATCTATTGAATAAATATCACATAACAGAAGCGAGGACCGTGCCGTTGTAAAACTGCATTTCACGAGGAAACATCACGCAGTGAGAGTCGAACGGTGACTGGGATGCACGAAAAAGAATTGGTAGAGTTATTGCATAAGGTCTTCGTTTAATAAAATATAAAGAAAGTTCGTCGCAAACCGCAATAAAAAGAGTGACAACCGGAGTTTATGAATCACAGGCTTGTCTTTCCGATAGTTTATTAAATTATACCCCACGCTATATTTTTGTTCAAGATTACGAAGATTCATTGACTTACACCGACAGAGAAAGTTTTTCCAATACACGTGATAAAAATTGTCCTTTCCTCCAGCGCTTGTTGCACATTGCTTCGGAGAAGTTATTCAATCACTCAACATCTTTCTCTTTGACGTACTTTCAAATTTTGTTTTATTTTAGAGTCACCAAAGAGAATTATTCATTCGCAAATTTTTTTTACGCAAGAATTGTTCTAACTCGAAAGGCTGTTTTGCACAACGGGAAGTCCACTGCATCACTCGCGATTTGCCGCAAAAGAACGATCGTTTATACCTATCGATCGTTCATGCACGATCGTTCGAAAAATTGCCTGCCTTTGACCTAGCACGGCAATCACATGTTGCACCGCTACTGTCGGTCGGTAGCCTTCGCCGTTGTTCGAGCATTACTACCAGCCGATACCGGCGGCGATTCGCTTCCAGGAGAGTCGTCCAGAGATTTCGACGATCCATTTTGGACTCCATCGCGCTTACGATACGTGCACCGTATTAATGATCGATTTTATCGCTTGCGAAACACTAGGACCCGATGAGTGTCGTAACATTGCCGAAACTTCCGTTTGAATGTAGCGCAATATCACTTTCAACAGCAAGAATAAGGTGAATATATGCGTAAAAGAACTAAAATATTTATCAAACATAGTCAATTAATATTTTACATACAGTAGTACAGTTATAACAAATGTAGGATAAAAAAAAATTGTTTAAAATATTGTATAAAATATGTACCACATTTTCCACAAATGTAACACTTATATAATTAATTTCAAAAAGCGATAAACGATACGGTTATCAGATAATATCGATCGAGAATCTGCGGTTAACTGGTTACGTGTTGTCACGGCACTTTTCAAACGATCGCGCTGCATTATATCCTGAACTGCACACGCCACCAGTCAGACCCGTAATACAGCAAACAAGACTTTCTACTTCCGCCAAGTATATCGCGCGCGAAGATTTCTATCGGTTGCGAAAATTCAAGCGTACGTGGAACGATTTAAATGGAGCAGGTTCATTTATCGGACAAAATAGAGGTTTGGACACAACACTCTTCTGCTCTCTCAGATTTCACTTTCTTCGCAATATACTTATTGCGTATTATTCGCGAAAAGGAAATATAAATATTGTTATTCAAAAAAATAAAAACAAATTAAATCAAATAATATTAAATGAAAGATGAGACCTTTGGTAGAGCGGTTGATCCAATTTACATATTCAATTTTACGTAAATGCAAAACAGTAGCAAGATATTACGCAACAACTGGACTTTAACAGAACGTTTCGAGTTTAAATCTTTCTCGGTTGGCATGAAATGTAACAAATTTGGCAAATTTAGAACAGATTGTAATCAAAGAAAAATTCTGTCAGTAAGTCGTTCTCACTCGTTTCAACATTTTTATTAAAGAAAACGTGAGTTCAATATATCATAAAAATGTCTAATTAAAAAATTACACAGTATAAATAAATTACACTGATTTAAGTAATTTTTTAAAAGATGATTTTAGTGTTTACTTGATACGCACACGTTATACTATTTCACAATTGTCGGTACACGAAAACTTTGCACGATTATAGGGTTCGACGATCTTGCCCGAACATCGGCGACCGCAGTACTTAACCGTACTTGTCTTCGAAAACCTGTCAGGAGTCCACGTGGACTCTAACAGTACACAACAAACTTCCATCTTTCACTTTCACTCTTCGCAATCACATACGTAATCAAGATCGAACTCCCATTATACACGCATCAGTAAGAATTACTTGTTTCTTATTGTATCTAAGTATATATCTTTGAAAAAGATAACGATATACTATATAACAATACGATGTTTTGCTTTTTTACAATTAATTGTTCTATTGCTATATAAAATAACTTGATTTACAATGTTTTTAACGTTAATATTATATATATATATTTTGCAAAAAAAAAATTATGAAGAAACTCTACATTAAAATCGCAATATTAAAATAAACAAATAATCGTAATTCATATATAGTTGCATCAGTTGTTGTTTTTTAGGTCGGTTTCGTTGATGTATATGACACGCTCCAATTATTCACCGCCTAATTGTGACACCGTGAAAGGTGCGTGAGCGCGAAAAGTACGCACGTGTTTACTCGCACCAAAAGACTTTGCGTGCATTTGAATTTGCCGAAGGTTTTTTTATGTTACAAAAAAAAACTCCAAATTTTTGTAACGCAAGCGTTCATAATGATCGAGAATAAACTCTTGCGCCAAGTCTTTCGCATAGTTTTAGCAGCAAAGTATTGCAAAAGACGCAACAGATCGATCATTTAGCTAGGTTTAGGATTTAGCAGAGTATATTACGTTTTACTGCGCAATATGCGAAATGATAGTGTTTCGTGCGTGAATGTCCGATCTTGGGTTTTACCATATGAATCAAAACGTGAAATTTGGTTTTCGTAGAATTTCATGCAGCTGTGTAACGTGACACATCTTGCGTTGTACACACTTGCTTACGTAATATATATATATATATATTTTTATGTATACGGGAGCATGTCAATACTTACCTGGTGCATGTCTAAAAATTATTAATGTGTGTCTACTTGCGTGTTTGTTTATTATTTATTTTATGAATTTATTTATTATATTCTACCTGATCAAAATATGTAGAGGGAAGAACTCAAAGTCAGTGCGAAGCTTTAAATCTATTTTTAATTTAAATTATTTTTCTTAATATTTAATAATTTTCTTTATAAATATCATTTTAAATATATAATTATATATTACGTAAAGTAATGTGTATATACATATCTGAATTCTAAAATAATGATTGAAATTGAAGCACTACTGATCGAAGTAAAACACAACGAACTCTCGTGTGAGCTCTTACTGTAGCAAATCGTAATAACAATGTATAAACATTGTGTGAGATTCTGTTTGCGTTTTGATGAAATCGTTATATTTATAACTCACATAAAAAGCGTCTATAGGCGTTAAAGATCTCTTTACAAAGTTTCGATCGTGAGCGATCACACGCATGATTCATATAAGCTGAGAGTCAAAATTGTATGTGTACTCACTAAACAATAGCACGGTAATTAAACATGTTTTACGTAAGATAAAGTACTAAGAGCGCGATTGGATCTCCGTGGGAGAGAGTTTCAAAATCGAGCTCAGAAGAATCGAGCAACACGTGTCATGAAACATGACATGTCTTTATTATACGATTACAAAGAAATCAGTTTCAAAATGTATCCAATACTGGATTTCCACAAGTATTTTGAAACGCGTAACTCTACAAAAGAGAGAGAATTCGATCTCTCGTTGTCTGAAGTTTTGACACATTTATTCTTCGTTCATTTTTGCGCAAAAAAAAAAAAAAATTAACCAGCACTTTATTAAGCTTACAAAAAGCATGAAATGTTATGCAAGACACTCGTTGTTGTTACATACACTATTATCATGATTACCTTGATATTCGCATGTAGCGTGATGACGAACAATTATATTGTAAATAATACTGCAATATTCAAACAAATTTTTTTTTTATGTCACTGTGTTGTTGGACGCAATTTATCACTTTTGTTAAATCTCTTTGCAGCAACTTGGTTGGGCGAATGTGTTGGAATATTTTTTAATACAAATTTATGTTGTTTTTGCAGAGACGCAAGTTTTTGCGGAGACACGAACTTTTCGATGTCAATCGTTAACTGATCGCGCTCTTGTGTTTCTTGTGTATTCAGAGTGCATATAGAGAAATATAGATCATACAAAAAAAAAGTACAACATGCAATGTGTGCGCAACATGCAATATGCATTTATCACGTGAATAGTCCAACTGGACTGCTAGCTTGATTGATTGTACTGCGTTCTATGATGTTTTAGTCTGTCATTAAATATTTTACGAGTAAAGCACCACATTTCTGAATAAAATTAATTTCTTAAGAAAGTGGAAAAAATAGATAAAGTCGTAATTCAGTTTTTTTGAACAAAACTATGTAATATAACTATGTAATAACAATGTAATGCATGATATCGTTAGATATTAAGTTAGAATTCGTATATTAAGTTTTAATTTAGAAACAAAAATATATAATTTGTAATGTATTTACTTCAGATTCAATTTTTTATGTTATACACTATAGTTTTATTCAAGATTGAATTATAAATGTTTTCTTTTTACGAGAATTTCAAATGAAAATGTCGTGTGTGATTTGCACGTAAAATATTAATGACAAGTTCGCATAGATAAAGCAAGCACAATCGATAAAATCAATGTGTGTAAACTGTAACAAATTATATATCTTACCTTTTTATGTCTCACACACATAAGAATTGATTTTGACAATTAATTATTACTTTTTCCGAATTAATATTATTTTTCACACCGGGATTCGTGTCGCACTTGCGAATTTCACACCGACGAACTCGTCAAGAGTAAGATCGCGAAAACAAATGCATCTTGCTGGACAGCAAAGCCGACACTACGAGATGAGTTCTTTCTACCTCCCGATACCTCGAAGGTCATCTGTTCGTTTTACGACACATCTTATGTGTAAAGTCTCGATGATGTAAACGGAACAAATCTACGAAATACCTAGGCCCGCGTTCGCTATTGAACAAAATGCAAAAATAAATTTTTGATGCGAGACACGATACGCACTTTCGACGCTGCATTTACAACAATTAAGCAATCACCGAGATTTATTAAGTAATAGTAATTAAACAACAGCTGCAGATGGTGCCAAAAAATTATTTTGTTCGAAAATCCAATTTACAATTAATTGTGTGCGCGTTCTTAAGATGTAATTATATTTTTTTAAAACTATGCTGACTAATAGCACTTATCAAATGAATAAAATAATCAGAAGAATATTATTATTATATATTATTATTATTAACACAAGAATTATGAAAGAGCTTGTATCAATTTCAAATTCTAGATTATATAAAAGACTGGTTTTTGTGTTTTCTGTTTTTATCAGATACTTGGCCAATTCTTTTACTTACATTCTTTCCGCCAGGTGTGACGTCTGTCGCAATTTTTCCTCGAACTTTGCACGCTGTAGTTTATTTTTGTACTATGATCCCATGTCCGTCGTTGGCTTTTACGTTAAAAGAAAACTCGCGCAAGAGGTTGCTGAACCCGAGAGTCATGCAAATTATCTTTTCTCAATCGCTTTTGATGAACTTTAACACGCACGAGAAAAAGTGCTTTTTTTTCAGTACAGTAAGATGTTATTAATTCAGAAGAGGTGTAAATCTTTGCAAATAATTGGAGTCATATAAACACGTTGTAATTAATTTTTAAGAAATACATGTACATTTTTGATACAACAATATTAATTTTCTTTGTTTTTTTATTAAATAAAGAACGCAATTCTGTGTTGCAAGTCTTCGCACTTGCCTGATGCATTCTTGTCGCATGATCAGTAAAAATGTTACATGGTCATAGAGTTTTCGATATTACTAATTATTACAGACACCCTGACCGCTTGATCTTGTATAATACAATGCGCACAGTTCGTTACGTATAATATATATTATTGAGTACAACAACATGCACTTATTAATAATGGATAATATAGATTTGCAGAATTTTTTTTATACCTTCTGCCTATGTTGCATAATAAACCAGTTTCTTATAAAAAGTCGTCGTTTAACGTATGTATATTTTTCGCGCTACACGGCTTAGCACTAGCTTATGTGTGTGTTGCAACGACGATATTTCATTTGTGAGAGTTGATAGATTATAGCACAGAGTTTATTACAAAACAATGCACACGTCAGAGAAACCTCTGAAGATTCTTTATGGCTACTATCAAAAATGGAAACTAGATTTATATGAGATATAAATTAGTTTTGATTGTTCTCGCTTTTCTCTCTTATTATATTTATGTATTAGTGTGTTTTTTTGGTATGTTTATTGTATTTAGAAGAATGATCACTAAGCGCTTTATTTGTAACAAAAAAGAATCTATCTAAACTATTTCTAAAATCACTTCATCGTCCATCTTTAATTTTTATACATACATACATACAAAAAATACCTGTTTCTCATATATACGCTTTCGCTAATTGAAAGCGAGTCTGTCACTTACAACGCCAGTTTTCGAGTCATGCGAGAAACTATTGGGAAAGCAAGTAGGATGTACACAAAAATAGTAGATAAAAGATGAGACAAAAATATGGCGCCATAAGTAACAATTGCACGATAATAAAAGCGAAGAATTCTCGACACATGATTATACAATAATTATAAAATATTCTTTAATCTAAAATTTTATTTAAATAAAATCTACGAATTTTATCGAACTTTGGGAAGCAGCTTTCGTAAGCTCTCGTCAGTTATTCTATCCAAAAAATTACCGTGTGTGATCGGAACTTGAGATATGTTTCTTAAATGAAACACGATCGTTGTGAGCAAGTAAGTAAGAAGTTTCTCTCGATATTCAGAAATAACGTTTATTTCTGATTATCCGATGGTAGACCTTTTATAGCGAACACACCACGAAAGAACGGCTTGAAGATCTCCAGTAACGTTTGTGTTCGACGAGCTGAGTTCTAAAAATCAAAATAGATCAATCGTTAAAGACAAGAAAAAATCAACAAGTCAATTTATATACATAGAAGTAAAATATAAAAATTAATAGTTTTTCTATCGGGAGAGCGGAGAAGTCGAACTCGCGTTGTTGTACTATATCATATGAAAGGAATATTTATCCATCGACTAGAGTGAAGGGCGATTAGATTATGTTAATCGATTGGGTGCGATTCTGTGGAGAATGATCGTCGCAAGAGCTCGAACTCGCGCGTCAACGGAAGCAGTTATACTTTTTCTTTTTCCAGATCGCGATCTAATAAGAGTAGATATTTCAACTATATACATGCTTACCAGAATCACACTGTTGAGAATTTTGCTAACGTTAGTTACCACGGTAAAACCTGTGGCGAATGCTCTCGATGGTACATCTAAAGAAACTTTTGTCCTATCGAATATGACAGTGTCCTCTGTGGTGGTAGTAGGAGGAGGTCTAGTTCCTATCTGTGCACACAAATAAAGAACAGATTTATTCGGTTCTCTATCTTTTTCTCTCTCTTTCTGTTAATTAATGCATTTCATCACCTAGTGAAATAAAAACATTATGAAAATTACGCAAAATTTGAAAATCCGTGTGTAAATATTTACATTTGTATTTGTAATCCTTACGAGATATAGATAAGGATTAAGGGTAGGATAGGATAGGTTATTATAGATAGGTTACAGACATTACACACGTTTATTTTCATAATTTTTCTATTTCACCAGTTTAAATTAATTACTACAAGAAGGATTTTTCGAATAATTCGTATTTTATTTATATAAATTAGACTTTTTTTACAAACAAAGAAATGAAACATTTTTGTATATTTATCTAAAAGTTTATTGATGTAAGCAAAAAATATACTTAACAAAAATGTCAAAGCGTACTTTTAAATTTTGTAACTTTAATAAATAAATTTCAATCATTAAATATTCAAATTACGAATAAAAAGATTGTACATGCAAATAAATAGATTTTCAGATAAAAGGATGTGGGAAAAGATTCGTTTAGGTGATACTGCTCTACAATAAGTTTGCCACATATAGTAGACAAAAATATAATTGTAGATTTATTTGATATCCAACATTATATTATATATATATTATCAATATTTTAAACATCATTCATTTTTATGTATTAATAGAGCGCTTGCACGCGCTATTTACATGTCATTTACACACAGCAGTAGTTCTCGAGTTTGTCTCGCCTGAGGAGAGACTACTATTAAAGTTATTTACAGCTTTCACGATGGCAAATCGATTCACGCTACTCTTCTGCAATTTATATTAGACACACAGCGCAGCCTAACAATTTAACCGAAGGGGGAGGACGTTGATTCTTCAAGAGAATATTTCCTGCGGAATTCCGTTATTCTCTCTTTCTCTCTCTCTGCTTTATTTTTCGTTTTGTGCTTGGGCTCTAAAAATATACTTTTTTTTTTATCGGAGGACTTCTATTGACAGAGGGGGAAGATCTCCTGCCGTTTATCGGCCCAGCAACTAGAAAAACAAAAATCCACATTCCATATTACATGGAATTCTTCTGCTTGTGTAAAAGTCTCTGTACCGTCCGTCTCAATATTTTTGGTTTTGTTTTGAGTATTTTTAATTTATCGCATTGTTTCCTAGGGTTGTATCTTCTCTCAAGCGTTCTTGCTCGCTGGTCCCAGACGTTAAAATCCTTAGTCCAATGTTCGCGTTCCATTGGCCCGTTTTATCCCGCCCGCCTTTTAAGCTGCCATTAATACGCCGCTTGCGGTGGCACGTAATCATACTGTTTATGTACAACATTTAAGGTTTATTTACAATGTTTTCACCTTAAAATGTTTTCACTTAATGATGGATATCATTTGCGACTACTAAATATCGAAAGATCTCGTCTTGTAAAGTTATGTCTTTCGAGGATGATAAGGATGTTGTAAATTCGGGGACGACAGTTAGTCGGTTTAGTCAGAAATTTAATGAGAAACGTGTGTGGCGCAACCGCGGACTTTTTGCAGCATTCGATTATATGTCGAGCTAGTTTCGAAGCACGGAGAAAGGCAACCGAACAAACACGATAAAAAGCACCTACATATGTTCTGTGACTATTGCGAGAAGAGATTGAAGTTATGTTAACTGGTTCTATTTGAAGATAAGCTATAGTGTTAAATGTGAGACTTTACATTGTGAAGAGAAAATTAATAAAACAAATTAGAAAGCCAGAGAGTTTTACATGCAGCAGCTGCTAAACGATAGCTCATCCACGAAAAATGTTTTATAAAAACAAGTTTTGTAACATTATAAAGAGATCTTCCTCGTACATTTCATCATGCATTTCATCATGCAGTCATCATAATTAATTTTCTTGTAGCGTAAAGAATTAATTATTATTCACAAAACTAATAGCAATAGCCTCCTCCCCGCCAGATATACGTTCTCATCTTCGTCCAGGTATGTTAAACAAAAGTGCGTTTTATCACAGTTTGTTAAAGATCGTCATTTTTTTGTCGAAAAAAATAGAAAACACTTGTTGCACACATAAAATGTATCAGAGTTCTAGCAGAGACAGCTTATACGTTACGTGTCAGATAGAGAACAGACGACATACAAGAGTGAGACTTCAAATATATGTCACAGCAATTTACAAAAATAAAAAGAACTTATTGCAATCCTACCCCTGCGAAGTTAGCAAAAGCTCCGAGGTTGGCGCCAGCACTCGCTCCACCGCCGGTGCTCGCGCCAACGCTCGCTCCACCGCTCGCTCCACCGCTTGCTCCACCGCTGCTTCCGGTCGAACCGCCGCCTCCTGTATTAGCGTTACCGCTACTCTGACTGAGAGTCGACAAGGAGTTAAGTCCTGTGCTTAAGAGAGAGCTCAAAATATTCGAATCCGTATTGATCGCCTGGGCAGTACCCGCGCCATTACCTATACAAGAAATAAGTTTCGCACAAGAAACAATTCAATCTGAAGTACAAAGTAATGCGATGTCGCGCGATTGAAAGTTATATGCAGAAAAAAAACGGTCTCGGAAAAGATTTCGGGTAACTTTACACACCTGTACCAGAACTACTGCCGGAACCACCGCTAAGACCACCGACAATGGAGCTTAATGGCGCGACCTTCGAGACAAGCGCGTTCGACAAGCCGGCCGAGGCTCCCGAAACGAGGGTCGTTGCGCTGTTCAAAAGCGGACCGATGCTACCTGTCGCGGCCTGAACCTTCTGAGACACTAAATTAGTGAGAAACTGCTTCGTGGCTGAAGAGTTGGGATCGATGCCGAAAGCGGCATTTTTCGCCCGGTTCGACTCGTCGAGAGCTGTGAGCGCTCTCGTTTTCGAATCGATGAAGGAATCCAATTTCTACAAAATACATAATTATCTATTAAATTAGAGGAAAGTTTTGTTTTTTAAGCAACAAGAGATTTTTCTAAAGATTTATTAATTGTTCTTACACTAAAAACAAAGCTGATGATGCCATTCGTCACTCCAAGTGTGACACCGATCTTTCTCTTATCCCTGTTACCCCTTTCGCCGTCAGCCTCGTTCCCATCAACTTCGATCACGTAAACCTAATTGTAACAGAGATAATAATTATATTTTTTTACTTAATCAAATAAAAATGCTATAAAATGAAAGAAGAACAAGCTTAATAATCTCAGACGATATTCTGAGAGAAAAGAAGTAGAGAGAAAAAACAAAAGAGTTTTCCGCAAGTAATAATTTGTCTGAAATGTGTAATTTTTTCGCAACTTCTATTTAGAATTTATAATCGTAATGACGAATGTAGCATAAGGTCATCAAGATGTACAACAACTTTGACCCTCGAAAACAATTTCTACAACGTTCAATCGAAAAGAAATCGTTACAATTGCGATTCTCACGATGTTTACATAATTTGACGCTATTATATCTCTCACACGCAATTATAACCATTATGCAACTCCGCTTTCATTTGAGACGAGCGAGGTTGGCGCGTGCCAACGATTGTCTAGCTAACGGAATCGCGCGCGTTCCGATATGTTAATGCGATCGCTAATGCAATAACATCGATACTTCATCGTCACCGTGCGGCGGCGGCGGCGGCGGCGGCGTACGTACGCCACGTGACTATCGCAAAGATTTCGTCGCGTTTGTATCTATCTACGTGTTTGAGTTCGTAAAGGCGACGCTGACCACTTTCACTCATGACTTGTTCTCTAGGATCGTGCTTCTCGCTTTTTCGTATATTCTCGGTCGTCTTCTTTCTTTTTTTCCTTCAGTTTACAGTTTGCTTTTAGCTAACATTACACACGTACGATTGGATCGCGACGCACGTCTCGCTTCCGACACAACTCGTTTTCGCGCGACGACGACGACAACGACGACGACGAGCACATTTCCTCTCGAAGATAAGCATTTCCGATTACAAATGTATCAAAATTGACCGTCCGGCGTTACAACAAGGAAGAGATGTCGCGACGCGAAAAAATGAAGAATATAAGAGAAACTTTCACTTTAGAGAATCAATCCGCGGGATAAATATTTATATAATCTACGAGATCTCTTTTGTAACTTGTATAAGATATGTTTACATTGTGTGTAATTGAATCGAATTTTCTTTGCCATATTAACGCAAAATTATTGCGAGAATTTTCGCGAATGTTTTACTTTTAAACTCACAACTTGAACTTTACATTTCTATTTGTCATTGTTTGTCGTGCGGTAATATCTTTCGAACTATTCTTTTTAGGTCGAGTGAAGGCAGTGGCTTATTTATTCAACGTGTCGCGCTTAGAAAGGAAAGGAAGGACACACGCAACTTTGTGTAACGCAGTTTGCCGAATTCTTGTCTCACTTGGACATTTTGTAACAATGCAGTTTGTGTGTTGCAAAATAATCAATCGCGTTTAATGTTCCGCGTCTCAATTTTCTCACGAAAACCTCGCGACGAGTGTGTAATGACACGTCAGATGCAATAAAATTCTATTCTAGTGTCTCGAGTGAGAGACCGCCAACAGTTTAGCGCGCGAATGTCTCTCGGAATTCAAATTACTTCATTAAAGAACGAAATGTGCACACAATTGCAACTCTCTTCTTCGATTTCATTCTCTTACTTTCTAAGATAATTCCAGGCAATATCTAACGTTTCTTCCAACTTCCTACGCGTGACTAAAAAAATCCAAAGAATGGAAGCATAATTTACTGTTCACATTGTGCGAAGACAAAATGGTGACATGTGCAAAGTGCATTGATGTGTGTTTCAAGAGAGAATGATGAAAAACAGAGATGAAAAACACTTACATCGTTCAACGGATTGAGTTCCTCTTCCGTTTCTCGCTTCACCACAGGACTGCAATTGACAATGGCAATGGCCAAGAACAGTCCGCAGAGCGCACAAAATATCCGCATTGTGCTTTCTTCTTCTCGGTCGATTTAATATATCGATTCAATCTGCATAAAATAAACAGATGTCTCTTCACATGAGGATTCCCGGTAGTAATAAAATTGAAAGTCAATCTTAAATGCTGAGTGAAAGGACTGCTTATGTAAGTACGGATGTAAGTAAACTTGAATTAATTTTGGTTAAAATAATTCGACCTCTAGTAAACAAATTGATACACTCGGGAGAAACAAATGCAAACAATTTTCACATGCTACTTGTAAAACATAAAACTTAACTTTATCTTTAAAAGTGTCAATAAAAAATCAGCTGTCAATCAGCTGATCGTCAATTTTTGAAAACGTCAGACCGTTCGTTCATGAATTACATCGTAAATAAATCGTAAAACTGCAAATATAATTAGATAAATAAAAACACAACAAAACAAGTGATCACAAAGTAATAACACAGAAAAAGCATAAGTGAATGAAAAATATGAGAAAAAAGAACTTAGCACGTGTATATTTGTTTAGTTCGCGGCAAGTGTCAAAACTAAAAACAGATTGTAATTTTGACAATGTGCGCGCGATACAAACATTTCGTTTATGCAAAAATTAAAATCCAAACAAACAAACAAGCAAGTTCAGCAAAGTCACGTGACGAACACAAATGCATAAGGAAGAATTTGCGTGGACTTACGAGCGCCGGCGCGGCGTGTGGGAGCGAGCGAGCGAGTGCGTGAGGAGTTGTGCACCTGGCGGAGTGCGAGGCTCGTTTGAGGACCACGGTGAAGGAGGTCCCGATGTCTTACGAAGTCGAAGGGGAGCCGAAGGCGAGCATGTGTGCCCCTTCGAGAATCGAGAATCGAGCAGACCACCGCGCGAACCTCGCCTCCCGCAGGTGGGGCGCCTTCCAATTCACTCCGTTCGCAAAACCCGCTCAGCCGGCCGGCATCATCCATAGCCCTCTCCAGCGCGAAAGACTACCCTTCTCCTTCACTTCTCTCTTATCTTTACTTAGCTGGCGCTTTTAACACGTCAAACTATTGCGCTCGAGTTTGGAAATTATCGCTAAATCTGACGCAGAAGCTATTTAAACGGGGGGAAAATAATATTTTTTGTTTTATTGTTTCATAAAAGTTTTGAAAACTGAACGAAGCTCAAATGTACCTTTCCTTTCGATGTCCTTCTGTACGTAATAGTTGATCCCACTAGTCACGCTCTGTGTAGAAGTAACAATAAGGCGTGGGAAACGAAAGAGAAGAATTATTATTATCTATACATGTTCGTTTAATTGTGATCATTTTTGTTCCCCAATTATATATCATCTTTTTCCGAGATAATAAAAGAAGATGATTATAAAGCGTGGGCGTTAAGCGTGAGAGTTCGCTTTCGGTATTGTTCGTTGTATTTGTTTTCTTCCTCGTCATGTGAACAAATATAACAATAGGAATCAATAACGTACGTAGTTTCGACAGCGCTATCGTCTGGAAATTGTAATTGATTATTTAAGTTTAGAAAATCGACTATAGCCTACAATCCATCGACATCTCTACGAGTTCGCGTGTGCGAAGTGCGCGCAATTGAATGTGCATCAATAGTATATTTATTGCGTGATTTCAAAGCGCAAACACTCGCGTTCAGAGACTCTCGCTTTCTCGACTTTATACTCGTTCGTAGTATATTCTATTCAAACAATTGCGAAGAATCGTCACACTGACTTGGCATAACAAATTTGTATGTTATCTCATATTAACTATTTGTGTGTTATCTCAGATATTACGCAAAACGTTTTAGCGCGCACGATTCGTGGCAAAATTACTCGAATAAAGTTCGCTTGAGAAATGTCTCGTTAAAATAAATTCCACGTCGCGTAATGATATACACCTGTCAACTGTGATAATACGCAACTGTCAACGGAAATCGACAAGTCAGAGGTGACGGCTTGAAGAAATTCTCCATTAATTTCGATGGTAAATTGACTCTTGCGATCACTAATCATCATTACACGCAAAAACAGAATATATTCACTTTGTAATTGTATCATGTGCTCGTTGATCTCTGATCTCACTATCGTTTGAATTTTATAATAACGGTAAGAATTGCAACAATCTCGAATTAAATTGACCGTTCGATATGACGATTTGACAACGTTAAAATTCGAAGTTTAGCGAAACCCTGTTAGCGACGCGCGCTTGTCGAGAGAAGCGTCAAAGAGACAATCACGACAAACAATTTGCAGGCATTTATTGCGCATATTTTCGGAATGCATTTACCGCCTGCATGTTTGAGCAAACTATTCCAACGCGCAAGTTCTGTTCAACAATAGTGGGAGTTTTGTAGGACAATTGCTCAATGAATTCCTTTACATTTGAGGTTCGTCATTTATATGCGTTACATGAGCAATGAAATGATACAATCTAGGCTACGATAATGCAATTTCGCCACTTGAAACACAATATCGCAATAATAATTCGCATGACAGAAATTGCTAGAATAAAAACTTGAATATATAACGCGCATGTTAAGTATTTTACATTTGTGTTAACGGATTGATTCCAACGTGAGATAAAATTATAGTTTACTGAGTGAATACAAATATGCAATTCATAAAAGTTAAGAAAAAACAATGTCGGGGATCAAGTTAGTGTAAACAATCGAACGTTTCTTCAAACATTCAAATGCTCGATTAAAGTCAACCGTTCTGTTTAAATAGAACTTTAAGTAGTAAAGGTGTCCTGTGTAGTCAGACTAGTGTTCGACACTCGCTCGTGAAGTGGCGCCGCGCAGCGATCACGCGCGCAGACGCACACAGCATTTCAACCGCGAAGAAACCGCGAGTGGCTTTCCAATTGAAAGAGAGAGTAACGCACTTCGGTAATCCTCTGTAAGAAGAAAGCAGAAAGAGGAGCAAAATTCCACACTCTCGAGATCAAAATCCTCAGGCTTACGTAAAACCCGGTCTCTGGCTCATATCCTGGGAACCGATCCGAAATTGTACATCGATCGCATTTTCGAAAGTGCAATCGCCGTGAAAGTAAAAATGTTATTATGTAATCTCTGCTCTTTTTACATATCTTGAATTTTATTCCTGTAAAACACGTATACGATCGTATACCTGTATACGATCGAATTCTATAAAGAGAATTAAAAAAAAAAAAAAACGCGATATAATATCACCGAGAGGTCAAAGAAAAATATAATAGCGATTTCCTTCTTGTACGCAACTTGCGTTTTTTTTTTTTTTTTTTTTGATCTAAGATGGAATCTAAGGTGTAATTATATGGCAAATGCATATTAAATATTGCAAGAAACGTTTCAATGATATCGCGTATAAATGAGAAAAAAATACTTTATGCCGTTGTACATTGGCACGAGTGTACGCAAGAAGCAATGTTATAAATATATGCTGCAACTATGTGTTTTGTTTGTATTGCACACATGCAGGTATCGAGATGATTGATCTTGTGGTGTAACACCTTGAACTTTCTATAAAAAATCACACATAATAGTATTCGATAAATTTATTGGCGAATATATTAGTGAATCGAAAAGGCAAAAGTCACATGTACCTTAAATGTTGACTCACTCGATGCTCTTTCTGAACAGCAAGATTCTTTTGATTAACAATTCTTGATTAATAATTTACGTGCATTTGCTCGTATACTCTCGAGCTAAATGTACGGTTAAATATAGCCTTTTTTTTTTTGCAATAATTTTATTCGTCTCGTTATTTTTCGCAATTTTACTTACCTTCTTTCAGCTGCTCGATCTTTGATCTCGTCGACCTCAAAAACTACCAGGCACACTAGGTCGAACTGTCGCAACGATCCATACTAGTTAGCGACGCGCACCAACTCAATGATGTCACTCACGTCCCAAGCGATTGACTATTTTCGCGTAACCGCGACCTTTGCCGCGAACATCTTCTCGATTATCGATCGGCGACGACGACGCCGCGCGAAGGATCGTGCACACGTGTGTCGCGTGGGAAGAACTAAGTGCGAAAGACCATTTGTTCGCGAGCCGTCGATAGTTAGAAATTGAAACGTTTGATTCACGCCGCGGCGATGTGCCGGAATAAAAGCGGAGGAGCGCGAACGTTCGCCGTTCTTCGCGAAAGAAAGTTGTAACGGGGAAATTGACCGCGCGAAGCAACACGTGGCGGCGCGAACGACTGTGACGAAGGTGAGCGAAGAAATTTATGCCCGCAATTTCAGCGTCGCGTGACGGCGACACGGAATCGGCGCGGAGGATGACGGATCAACAGACACATAGACCTGTGTACACTGCAAATCCAAGTGTGTTAATTTAACACACTTGACGTGTGTTTTTATTGAAGTCATTTTTAATACGTTTCTTAGTGTTTAAAATTGGAACACGCTTAATACGTGTTGATTTAACTCACTAAATTAATACGTTTTAAATGTATAATTTGTTGTGTGTAATAAACGACATATTATCGTATAAAAGTTTGGAAGCTCTACGTTTTCATAGGAGAACAGAATAATAATATTTATGTTTCAAAAAAGCTGCAATGTGAAAAACTTAGATAACTATGGTATAATAAAGTTTGTCATAGTGCAGTATTCTTTAAAAATATTAAAACATTATTATTTTGTTCTCCTAAGAAAACGTCGAGCTTCCAAACTTTTATCACCTGGTTCAGTATGTAATATTTTGACGTTCATGTTATACGTGTCATTGATTTGTCTCTCTTGAGAAACATCAGAAATAAAACCAGTAGATGGTGATGATTCGAGTACGAGGCTTGATGGTTTTTCATCATAGACGTACAATATATAGACTGCGCGTTTGGCTGAAAAGATGTCTTCAACGTTGAGAGAGACAACATACTTTGAATAGTAACTCTTTCTCTATCATTTACCCTACTACTTCGCTAGACAAAGATGAGGCTACTATTCAACACCAGCTGTCTCTCTCTCAACGTTGAAGACATTTTCTTAACATGGCAAAGGTAGGGAACGCGCAGTCTATATATTATACGTCTATGTTTTTCATACAAAAAAAGTACGTTAACCTCACTTTTGTCTTCAATTTCATCATCTTCTTCAATATCACATAATTTATTATTTCGATCGGCATCAAACTTTTGTAAAATGATTTCTTTGTTGTTGATCATTGATTGTAACACTACATCGTTATTGCTGGCTTCTATTAAAGTTGCACGTACAATTTGAAGGTCAGAGATATATTTTTTAGATGAAAACGTAATGCGTTTACAACGTTCACCGATTAAACAGTACACTTTCTTCTTCATATTAAATAAAAAATATATTAAATTTTCACAAATCACATTAAACATATATTGCACGTCAGCACACTTCTTTCCGCCGCGCTGTACTTGTCCTAACATATCTCTGTACTCTGGAAGGAGCGAGAAAGAAAGATTGATGCGCGCGCAACTTTCTACGCAGAGACAACGACAATTTTGATGTGTATTTTGTGAAGTGTTTTAATTTTGAAACGTTTATCTGTTCAAACGTGTAAAACGAGAAATATGTATTATTTTAACATGTCTAAAACTTGTGTTTAAAACTATGTTTTATTTTATTACACATTTTAGATGTTTACGCATTTTAACACACATGCGATCTGCATAAAATTATCATATTACACATTTATGTGTGTTTAAATAACACGGATAAGCGTGTAATCTTAAAATTACACAGAAAAAATGTGTTAAAGTAACACACATGGATTTGCAGTGAAGTGTGCAATAATGTGCCGGATAATGGCAGGTTCGATCGGATTTAGATCATCGCGCGACCGTTGTAGAAACTTCTTACTTGCGCAATCCGCACAGACAGATCTATCATCTACTGTTTCGTAAGGGTACACGATGCTGAAAAATGTTCGCCGGCTTCCGTGTATATATTTATCGCATAACTAATGCGCTTCCGTTACACGTTATAGGATGTGTTGATCTTATTATTAGCGTTGTGAGATTTATCCGATTATTGTAAATCGTTATGTGACAAAAACAAAATGTTGGGTTTCAAAATTACCTCAAGATGTGCTAATTATATACATTTATGCATAACAAAGTTTATGCAAAAAGTTGAATTAAATATCAGATATAATCACATGTTACTGGTTTGTCGACATTAGCAATTTGTAAAATAGAACCAGTTTTTTTGTGGACATTAACGTTTTTTTTTTTCACCAAGATATTTCGTAAAGAAAGAATATGAAAGAATATGCTTTTTGTAAATATAATTTATACCATCGTTGTGTCACAAATAATTTATAGTTTACATCGCCGCTCCATGCGACAATGTAAAGTTGGCGATCGTGATGCAAGACGGATCGCGACGCGCCTTAAGGTTCTATCGTAATTATTGTCGAAGAGCATCGTCTCCCATCCGTGACAGCTGACACTGCAGAGTCAATTTTATATGGCGAAATTGCTTATAATTACGCGCGCTTAGATGCGTTTCTGCATCTTGGCCCGGAATGTCCGGCTCAATGAGATGCATCTATTCAATACGTCCGTTCCAATTCGCGTTTCGCAAGCTCCGGCTCCGTCCATAATCCGATGAATCGTTTTCTTAGACGAACATAAACAGATGTTTTTTTGCAATATCATCCGCTCTGAAAATGGTCGGCCGGCGATTATAAACAAAAAATCCTGTTCTCTACGGCTTAGGGACATGAATTATTGAAGATTTTGAGAGAAATAAAATACGGATAAAATTGTAGAAGACTTTAAGAGAAATATAAATCATGGAATATATTATATATCTTTAATAGAAATGTTGCAAGTTTAAGATACGTATATGTTTTTTTCTACTAATAAATATATGCGCATAGATGATGTATAGTATTTTTTTTTTCTTTTGCACCTTGATATTCTTGGATTCTAGAACACGGCGATCCACTCGCGGGAACACTCTTGGGCAACACTCACGCATCGGACGATCTTTGAATCAACATGATATCAGGACAGAGAGGTCACACCTAATGATCTACTTTTACGTCGTTCAGAAAATTGACACAACATAAATGAGTTTACATCAGAACACAATGAAGTCTCACAAGTAAAGCAAATCTCGATATGATACATATAATGTGGATTTTTACATTCTATTTGGTATAACTCATGTTATACCAAAGAAGCTGTTAAGAATAATCAAGGTTGTTGTTGCTTAACAATATTATTGCGACTTTCATTTTTTTCGTAATGCACTTACTATGCACATGTACATGCACGATATTTTCGATATCCTTTAATTGTGCGCACAAATTTTCTCAGATCAAAAAAAATTATCTTGCGTGTTCTACCCACTGTGAATTATTTACCGTTCACTTTTTGGCGCTCGAAAGCAACAATAAATGTTTTTTTTACGACTGATAGATGGGTAACGCATTATGGATCAAGCTTTGCCGTTGATCGTGTTTAAAGATCTCCGATGATGAAAGTAGTCTTGTTTTAATTTTACATGTTCGAAACGACAGCGTGTTGTAAGCTTAACACATTAACGTGAAAAAAACATGACCCAACAAATTTAACGAACATGCCATTTATATAATGCTTAATTATTTGCACTTGCGAAAGAGAATCAAAATAAGAATTGCGTAAGATATTTCTATTTTTTATTTTTTTATTTTTTTAATTTACGTTTAAAATACGTGCCTAATCGCCGATATTTATGATAATCAGAATTTATATATTTAAATCAGAATACGCAAGAGATATTCTAACGGTATTTTCTTTCGTCTATTTCAGTTAAAAAAAAATCGACTATTGAAATAAACACAGTTAGATATTGCGCAATGCAAATCTGTGCACATGTTACGTGCTAAAAGTGTTGCTGATCGAGGTAAAGGTACAGTACGAGGGTCAACGAATAACCTCGAGTCTACGAAAAGTTTCACTTTCTTTAACGATAGAAAGTGACTGTGGCCTTCATAGTTCTTCGTAGTAATACTTAGCTGGTTGTTGGATTTCAGATTTTCACTATGTACTTAAATGTAAATTAATCGAATATTACTAAAACAATTCTCATCTTTCTTCTCATATATATATATATTTTTTTCTTTCTCTTAAATTAAAGAACAAATTAGTTTACAAATAAATTTCTTCCTTAATAGCATTAATTATCAAATTAATTTAAACAAATTCATTACCTCGAACTAATTTGCTTCGTATTTCTCTCTTCAGAAAGTATTTTTTTAGTTAGCAGTTAACATCGTTTTTATTTCTTTTTTTATTACACGTCACGCTCAATTGATAGAACAATGGGTTGTTTGTTTTTCTAACAGCGCTGTTTATTGAAAGTAATTTTTTTACGGTCCACCGATTTTACCGTATCGAGCTTAATAGCAGCACGAGTAATACGAGAAGTGATGGCATGCGCGCGTCGCCTCGCGCGCGGTATTGCCGGAAGAAAATGATCTTCCGTAATAATAAGCGAAGGATCTATAGGTCAAACAGTAAAATGTGCTTTCACTTGGGAAACAAGCGAACAAAGAAAATGAATGTGTCGCGGTGTCTTCGTCATTTTAACGAAACAAAATGAAAAGCGCGATATGTCGCGAGAATTTCTTAACTTTTTTTCTCGCTCGTTAATTCATCAATTAATCGCGCTGAGAAAGATCTATCGTTTCGATCATATAACGACACATCGTGTCTCTTTTCATTCGTCGCCTTATACAATCGCGGATTTTAAAACACGCTCGCTTTTTTATTGAGAACGAACGACGGATATGCACAAACATATAAAACGGAATTATTTGTAAGATAAATATTTGACACTAAGTAACAATTGTTTCGTTTTTTAATGTCTCTTTCGATCTGTTACAAATCCTTAATGATTTCCGAGAATAATGTCATGCATAACGTTCAGGAAGTGCAACTGAATTCAGAATTTTCACTTCCGCAAGCATAACGAGGTTGAGAGACTTCGCAATTTATTATTGAAATATCCCGACCGGTATTGAAAGTAAAACCGGTGCGCAAATCGAACAGAGACACGCCGATTAATATAGTTGTATCGTGTGATGCAAGCGCGAAACAGTTTCTTGTAAAGAATAGAAACGTTGCGAGAGTCGGACACTGAAAGCTTATGGAGTTTAGGGATTCTGTTCGAGAGCTCGGTTCAAAGAAATGGAACAGGATCTGTTGCGGGATGATGAGCGTGAGATGAGCGTGATGTTAAAAAAAAAACACTTTCACCGGTCGTTTGCGAAAAGAGTCAAGTGTCGATTTGTTGCTGAAGGCAATTAAATCGATGTTTTACGCAACGTCGTTTATACGCGTAGGTCTGCAACCTGGCCGTTTGCTCGCGCTATTCGTTCAACTTCAAAGGTCGTTAAAATAAGTCGGTGTGCGATGTTTCTTTCCATGCGACCTCACGTAAACTGTAAAAGAGATGTGAAACGAAGTGCGCGTGTGTCTACGAAGAACGAGAAGGAGAAACGCGAAGAAACGAGAGCATGAAATGTTAGTTTATGCGAATTGCGTAAATCCTCAGTCAATTTATGGGCCGCGTCGAGAGACTTTTGCCCCGTCGGCTAATACGTCACAAATGACAGAGATAGAATTAAGAAAGTAGAAAGGGGAAAGGTCATTTTTTTTTGTTTTTACAAAAACCTGCGTTTGAATGTTGTAAAACGTCTCGTTGAAAGTATTTTGGCTTGTAATGCAAATTACCGGTGTTGCAACAAGTCTCGTTACAAAAAGCGAGTGCACGCATTTTCAATACAAGTGAACTGTCAAACCTGATCGCCTTCGATGCGAAGCAAATCGCTCGAAAGAATCGCGGATATGATATATGTCCCGGTTTATGCTATCGGCAATAGGGAAGGAAGAGAGAAGAAAAGCGACGCATGAGAGAAAGAATATTGCTTCCTAGTAAAACAAAACGAGTTGTTAACGGCGTCGCTTACCTGGTTAGAGTCTCGGACAGTTCGACTGTGTAACGAGCGTCATTTAAATCCGGGACACACCGTGTCTTTCCGGAAACACACTCGAAGCTTATCAGCTCGGGGTAAAATGCCTGCCTCTGTAATTTCCTTGATTACATATCATCTCTCTCTCGGATCCGCATTCCTCAATTATCGATCGAGTGTCGGTTTTTGCTCGAGATTTTGTCGGTACGTGATACAGACGAGAAAATCGACCATCTCCAGTGCTCCTTTTGTCCGATAAGAGCTTCCGGATAAGCTCTCGCGCTTGTTATTTCGGATACGGCACGCGTATAACGCGTTTAACTGATGTTGACGCACGCGTCGAGCGCCTTCTCGAGTGAAATTCTTATGTTTTGCGTATCGCTTCGAACGAAATCGATGTTAGAAACTCTTCCCGCACGAAACAGTAGTATTTTCTAAATCAATAACAATTTGCTTTTCTATCGCAAAATTATATTCTCCGTAGTTAGGATTAAAACTAATATTGTTTCGATAAAACATCAAACCACCGCGCCGAATAAAATCAGAATATGTCAGCAACAATCCCAAAAGTTGACAATCATTACGCACGAATAAATAAGTTTCTTTATTATTTACACACACACTGATATCATGCGCGCTAGTATCTCGTGATTTCTAATCGCAACGCAATAATCGCGCAGTTGTTAAAGTGTCACCGACTGATTCGTTCGTGTTTCACGCTTTAATTATTCGGAAGTAACAGTTTAAATGAGACTGAAAAAGTCCGCGGCGATGACGTGATTTTTGTCCTTGTGCACTTAGATTATCTTACAATTACTGTTATATAGAAGCCAGTTTGCGTAGCATAATGCCCACATGATTTCATAGTAACAAAACTAATTGCGAAACGGTTCATCTGGGTTAAAAAGATTAGAGACACAGTTTCGCGCGCGTAACTACACTGACGTGTACGAGAGACAGAATTATTATTTTTACAGTCATTGTATCAAAAGTGCGTCAAGTACGCACGTATAGTTTCACGCGGAAGTGTTCACAAAGATTACTACTTTCACAACGTGGAGATAAAATAAGATAAATCGCGAGAGAGCAGCTACACAATATATACGTTTACACCTTAAGATTTCTTTTTTTGATGCCGAGTTTGTCTTCGCAAAAATGTTGCGTAGGGAGAGTTCGTGGACGGAGGCGAGTAAGACGGAGGCGAGTAAGACGGTTTCGGCGGTGGCGAAGGCGGTGGGTAAGGCGGATTCGTGGGTGCACCGTACGCGGGCATTTCGTTCTCGTTCGCGGAGCTCTCTGAAGATTTGGCCGACAAATTGGCGCTTGAGCTGGACGATGTGCCGGACAGACCTGCGCTAGAAGTGGATGACGTGGCTGACAGCTTCAAGACGGCGCCGATGATCTCTTTGACCGACGCGAGAATCATGTCGCTTGGATTCGGAGTAGACTAAAAATTGAGAAAGTATTTCGGACAAGTGACAATCTAATTTTTTTTTTCGCATTGGATATGAACGCAAAAAAAAAAACAGTTTCTGCGATTGTAAAAATTAATTCAAGATTGATTGGGAAAGAGATATATTTTTTTTTCTTACAGGTTTGTAGGTGCCGTAAGAACTGTAAGAATCGTAAGCGCCGTACGTCGTGGGCGCGTAGTACGTGTCTCGGTTACCGTAACCTTTGGGACCGTAGCCTTTGGGACCGCTCGAGCCAGCACTGGCACCGGCGAGCACTCCTTGCACAAGTGAACTAACTAGAGCTTTAACGTCCGAATCGCCTGCTGACTTAGCAAGTTCCTGAAATAAAATTAAAAATGATAATTTCATTTATAGTTTTGTCGGGCCAATTGTTTCTAGTTTTACCACTCAAATTATATGAAATGTGTATTGACAAAAATCATAGACGATCGAGTAATTATATGAAAAATATGAGACAGAGTTCGATGCGTACTTTACTTAGCTTGGCTGTGATGCTGGCAATGAGATTCGACAGTACTGATTGTCCGTACGGTCCTTGAGGCTAGATTAGTGAAAACAGAGATGGAAAAAAAAAATAAGATTGTACAGTTGCAATTATGAATTTTTATCTCTCGATTGCAAAGAAAGCTTGTGTAAATACCTCGCTCAAAGGACCAGCGAGTGATGAAACTAAAGATCCCGATCCCTCTTTACTTCCGGGCTGAAATTTGAATAATAGTCTTCTTATTTAGTTTTTACATTCATATAAAAATATCATACTACTGTTTTTTTTTTCAATTTTGCAAGCTAAGATCCTTACACCACTACTCGTGCGACTGAGAGGTCCGATCAAGGGACCTAAAAGAGGTCCGATCAATGGCGCTATTAGCTGAATGAGAGGTCCTAAAATAGCGCCAGAGTCACTACCTTGACCTTCCGGTCCCTGAAATAAACAATTTGGTGTAGCTTAATTCTTTCCATAAATTTTAATTACACAATATCATAATTAGATTAAGCTTACTTCACTGAGTCTTTGAGAAAGTGGCACCAAAACTCCAGGGAAATCAATACCTCCTTCTTCTGGCTATAGAAAAGATAAATATTCTATCATATAATTTTGTCTTAAATACGTGCGAACACAATTTTGTATAAGCAATTTCTTAATCTTTACATTAGACAAATCTTCGAGAAGAGGAAGTGCGCCACGAAGTACTTCTGCCAGATCGACATCAGCTTCCGGCTAAAACACATTAGTTTTATCTGAGACAAATTTTATCTCCAACATTGTTTGTGAATTATAAAATTTATATATTTTACTATAGCTGTACATAGTTGTATGTGTTACAAATTTTTGTTAATATATTGTTTCATGTACATCACTAAGTTCCTCGAGAATTGGCGCAGCTAACGGTAACAAATCGATTATAGCTTGTATAGATCCACCCTCTTCTTCCTCATCTTCATCTTCCTCCTGTTGTTCCTCGTCCTCATCATCGTCCTGTAAAATGTTTTAACATTAGGTGTTACATAAAAATTAACAAAATCCAATAATTGTGCGGTAAAAAATTAAAACAAACTGTTTACATTTAGTTCCTCTTGTGCTTGAAATGTTTCATTGCGTCTATCTCGATTGGGCGGCGGCTGAAGCAAACAATAAAATTTTAATTGATAATTTAGTAGTCAATGTAACAGTATGTTAATGGCATAAAAAAGTACTGATTAATTCATTTCGGTTTTTTATTGGCAATTATGTAAATTGACCGATTGCGTTACTAACGTTTCTGTTCGTTGCGATGAGAAAAAAAAAGAAGATAAATTTGTCTTTGGGCCTCACTTGAGCAACAGATTTAACGCTTAACCCACAACGCTTTAATGCATATTCATAGACCAGATTATAATATCGCACAAATCTTTATTACCTAATTTCTCAATTACTATTTTAAATTCCAAATTTTACCAATGTTTTATCACGTTATTATTTATTTATTTTTTCTTAGTCAACTGATGTACTAAATAGATAAAAAAAAAAAAAAATACATTCGAAAATATGTGTTTAAGCGTAATTTTAAATAACAAAGTAAAGCGCAAGGCAGATCAACTTTCACGCTTAGAAGTCGCTTTGTGTTCGAGCGTAACTGTTGATCACTATAGTTTTTACAACTATATTTCACAAACATTGTTGCGATAATTTCATCTTTTTACAATAATCGTTGCATTAAATGCTACTCTTTTGTGAATAAAAATAAAATGTTTATTTTTCTTAAGTTGTGACAGATCTGTCATTTATATCACTCATGGAATCTGATTTCATATCAATGATGTATGCACGTATAGAGATATTTAAATGTAAATTATTTCATTTACCGAGGCGACACATACACACCACTCACCTCTTCCTCGAAGGCCACCTGTATCTTCTGCGTGTTCGTACCTTTCAAGATGGAGAGCACAGGCGGCACTACATTAACCTCGGTACTGTTCTTCGGCAGTTTCCTCAGGATACCCAACGATCTCAATAAATCGCCGAGTACCGACGATTGTCGTCGCGTCTTTGACGATTTCTGCGTCTTCGCATTCTTCGTTTTCTTCTCGCTTTTCTTCTTCTTCTGCGTGCGCACATTCTGTTCCTCATCTTCCTCTTCTTCTTCTTTTTCTTCATCCTTTGGTTCTATTTTTTCGTTGCTCGTGTTCGCAGCGAAATCGTTATTGAGAACAACGTTGATCCGTCCGGTCTTGTTGGTGAGCGTGTAGTTTTTCTCGAAGTACGGCGGGAACTCGTCGGGAGGATTTCTAGTGCGCATCGCGAAGTGATCCTTTGGCTGCGTTTTCGTAATCGTCATGGCCGCCGGAAGCTGCTGTCTGGTGATCGTTATTAAAGCTTGAAACGGAAAAGTGAGCAGAGGCTCGCGTGACACATTTTTTTCGGTCAAGCCGTTGTTCACGGCGATCGGTAACTGCGCGAGATCGTTATTGAGCGTCTTGACGTGAAGATTGAAAGACTTCTTTTTCATGGTTTGAAGCTTCACAGGCTCCTGCGGACCGGAACTGTTCTTATCAGCCGGATTGTCGTAAGCGCCGACGTTGTTAGTTTTCGGCGGCAAAGGAAGATACGTGGCGGCGGGTGGCTGTGCCAACAGTTCGGGATTCCCGAAGAAGTCGATCTCGCTTTGCTGAAAGGGATATCCAAAGTTCGCGAACTGTGCAAAATTCGTTAGTCCGTTGGCGGTATTCGCAGTCGGAAGACCGAAAGAATCCTGTTTCGACATCGCGGGTTTCATTCCACCGATAGGCAAAGGGTAAGCAACCACCACGTCGTCCGGTCTTTGCGGTTCTTTCAGTCTCCGCGCTGGATAGTTTACACCCGGTTGTTTCTCGTTGAGCGGCGCCTTCTTTATCGTCTCTTTCGACTTGGAAACCGAATTGTCCGCAAGAGATCCTCGTTTCTCGGCCATCGAGGTGGTGGACGTAGTGAGATTTATCTTCGACGCCACCAAACGCATCACATATTTCGACCAGGCTACTAAATCTTCCTTCGAGGTGATCTTAAGCGGCAGCTGAATCTCCAAGATCCTCGGCGAGGCCGAAAATCCTTGATCGCTCTCGTTCGGCGAACGCTTTCGGGATTTCACGGGCACCGAAGCCACCAGATGGGACATCATCAAAATTAAAATGAAGCTCGAACGGGACAGCATCCGTGACAGTATCAAGAGCGTCTTCAAGTTCGACATTTCGCTTCAAAAGTTATTCTTTCTTCTCGAGATTTACGTTATGTGTGTGATTTTAGAAAGTTACATCTTTTTTTATTTTTTATTTCTTTGATAAAATTTTTTTGAATATGTATTTTTTATTTTTACTTAAGACAATATATAATTCAATTAAGTCATAATTCTTTCGTCAAAGTAACAACACACACACACACACACACTTGTGATTTTTTTTCACACTCTATTCACGATTGCAATAAATGTGCTTCACCGACACAACCTGCATGTTGAATTAATTAATTTATGATTTAATTTAATTAAGTATCAGCACTTAATCAAGTTTGTTCTTGAAAAAAGAGCACGGCAGCGGTCTCGGAAGAAAAAGTTCTTAGAAAACACGAGGATTTTACCTGAGGAACTGAAGAACTGAATAGGAAAATGGTTGCTTTATAGGCTGGGCTTAATCAGAGGTCTGTTTCTTCCCTGGTCGCGGAAGCATGCACTTCTTTCCATGCACTATCGGGATATCGGCTTCGTTAATCATAGTGCGTCGGCGCGGGGGCGGTCGCGTTTACTTCCGTCGGTTGCGTTTCCTTCGACGAGGTCTTCCTCTCTCTCTCTTTCTTTCTTTCTGATATTTTATAGATGATTACGCGCGTGGTGGGCGAGCATGTAATGCGAAACGCACGTGATGACAGGCGAGAGCGACTTTCGTAAAAAAAACGACGACTCTAATCTTGTAACAGCGTGTAGCAACATTATAGCAGCGTAAATGGTGAAATTATCTTTTTGGAGACACAGAGTCATTTTAGTCACTTACCATTATAAGTTACATATTAGAGAACGACAAAGAGAGATTCTAGTTGAAATTGTGATTATATCGTGTGGTTATAAACGATTGCGCATAAACCGTTGTTAATGCGCGGAACCCGTCGAAACGAGTTCACCGTTTACGCGTCTTCTTCCGGGTGAAACAACCTCGTCGGACGTTGTTTCGCAATAGGTACTTGCAATTTATTTCCATTTAAAAAAGCCGACGGTCAAACGCAACTTTCGATTTACGCATTTACTTAATATCATTAGCGTGTTTGTGTTGTGCTTGAAAGCTCGAGACGAGCAGTTTTCGGTTTTACGGAAACATTTTAAACTATTTGTCATAGGCTATGTGTATAAATTTTTTTTTTTCTTAATTATTGTGTAGTAGATATATATTTTTTGTACAGTAGAATAGTTAAAAAAAAATTATATAAAGCAGCAGAGAATTTTTATTTCGGCCGTGACACTGTAATCGTGATCTTGAAATTCTAAGCAACAAGAATAAGAACAAGTCTTGGGGAGTGATAGCATCCTGTTTCTCGTTAGACACAAAGCAAGGACGCGTTCACACCCACTCGCGTTAATGATAGTTCTCACGACCAAACTATCGAAAGTAACGACGCACAAACCGTAAAGTCATTAAGGATGTAAATTAGTGATCTTAGTCTTATGAACTTCTTTGGATGATTTATCACGTGTCACTAATTAGTTCAAAGTTTTGTTAGCAATCATTATTATTATTTGGCAATTTTTAGTTTAGTCACATTATGATGTCTCATTTTGTATGAATTGTTCAGATTTCGATTTGATCACGCAATATCTACAAATACGTATGTAAAAAGGCATATAAAATATATCGACTTTAGTTTCTTTTCGGGATACAAAAAATGTGTCGATTCGTTTATTATATCTGCTAATCTTTCACTTTTATGGCAATTAAATTTATGTAAGATCTCTCATTAAATGGAACCGGTATACAAAAAACCGGTATGTAAAAAAATTATAGTTGTGAGAAAAATATATATATATATATGTAAGATAGTCTAATGCAAAAGTGAAAGAAAGAAAGAAATTAAGTTAAAGAGAATTAAAAGTTTCTTAATAATAAAAAATTTATTAGCGTATTTTATCTTACATCTTTAAAAAAAAAAAACCATTTGTATACGCCCGAAGCAAATCGTAGAGAGTGCGATACAATTTGCATCTAGCAAAGTATATCCAATAATAGTATGACTGATAGCAGGGTATGTGATGAGTGTCTCGGTGATGTTCAATCGAGCGCGACAGAATCGACGGGGAGGAAAAAAACAGAACGGAACATACGTGTGCCCGAGGCTGACGCACTTTCCATTGTACAAATGCGCGGTCAGTGTGCACCGTACTGTCGAACTATTTGCCCGATTTGCAACATCGTGTTCGGAATATGTTTTTCGATTGCTTCTGATAAAAAAAACTACGAGTCTCGCAAGTTTTTTGTGAAAATAAGAATGGCATCTAAAGATACAACTAGAAAAACACGCGCCTAAAGAGTTGCAGAAATGTAAAGAGTATGCAAACATAAAAAATATATACATTTTAATTTATATTTTTATGTTAATAAGTTGGAAAATTTAACATTTTACGCGAGAAACAAAAACACAAAATTAATTTTACGAAATTTTTCACACAGCACTGATATTTTGAGAGACTAGCACATCACAGACGCGCGCT